ACAATTTTAGTATCAAAGGTGAAATGATCAGTAGTTGATTTGATGATAGTTGGAAGTGGAGACGATTAAGCGTATAGGTGTTGAAATGATTGAATAAAAGAGAGTGTCCCGATGATATATTTGACAGTTTATATATCCAATGTGGGGCAGTACCAGAATAATAGATAATGAGTTTAATGGCTAATGCCAGGGTCAGGTGATTTTATGTTGGGGAAGGAAAAAGCGATGGGAGCAAAGGGGTATTAGCTACATCTGCTACCATTAGGACAAAGGAACAAAGGCGTTGTAAGGAATCTCTTAATGATTTGTAGCAACACAAGGAAATTAAATTTAACAAAGACAGATTGTGAAATGCAACTTCCTCGGCTTATCTGTTAGATAATTTGATATCACAAGTTTTCGGATTTTCTGACAAATCCATTAAAGTAGAGTGCTTGCAAGGAGCAAATTTCGTTATTAGCCTGAAATAAACTATATACTTTATCGTCCCATCTTCATCAATTTGCAAAATGCCTTTTAGGCAGCAGCTTCAGTTTTTCAACCAGCTGAGCAGTTCCCAACTTTTTTGTCATTTGCACATTGAATAAAATTCGAATTAAAATTATCCATGCTAAAAATTTCGGATATTTCAGATTCTAATAATTGACAGTCTCTGCTGCGAATTGTGGTCATTCCACCGGAATATGTGTGCTATCGCTATGTTCGGCTGTTTAGTTTATTCAAAGTACATTCGGGAAATTTTTTGGATGTCACTTTCATAGTCCGAGAATATATTTTTTCTATGATTTAAACACATCTTTTTCAAAAATATGGATATATTTCTCTATAAAAAGCTTCAGACCTGTTTTTAGTAAGTTGTAGATTTTTTTTTGCTTTGAATCTTCGCAAAATACTGAAATAATACTGGAAGATTCATAGATTGAGAGCATTTTTTCATTTATAAGAGATAGACTAATATAGTAGATTGTTTTAATTGCTTACCTTGTAGATTTGAATCAGCTGTAACTTCTTTTATCTATGTAAATTTTTTAAATAAATATTACTTCTTTATTAGAAACTGTATATAGTATGATCTGCCATTACGATTTATTCCATTAGGTGTGTTGTATCTTTCTTTTGTTTATTCGCTTTTCTCTCAAATGTGTTTTAGATCCTTGAAATTTGAAATGTTAACTTTATAAATTTTTCATTTCAGTTTTAATTAACGGGCTTACCTTTACTTCATTTTTATAGAACGAAATTTCATTTTAATCAATGAGGCTGTTTTTGTTTTTTTCCCGGTTCTTCAATTCCTCCCTTTTTTTTATTCTTATCTTAAGAACGCATGAATTAATGTGCTGTTGTATATGAAGTTTAGGCAGTTTTGCTACGGGTTGTTTCCTCGCTTTCTTTTTTCCTTTAACACTGTAAGATCATGATTTAAAACATGCAGTTGAATTTTTTTCCTGACATTTTCATGCTTGAAATTGAAGAAAACAAAGAAAAGAAAGAAGAAAGCACTCCCAAATTTATGATTTAATGCTTTTTATTCAAAAATTAAAATGAGAAGTGTTTAAGTATTCCTTACATTTTGCTGTTTTGTTGTAGAAATTTCAAAATTTAAGGTCAATTTTAAAATCGTTTGAAGAAAAAATCCAGCAATAAAGCTTCATTATTTCCGGAAACGAAAAAACGGCAGAGTTTATATTTCTTTCATCTTAATAGGCCTAAGTTTTGAGGACGGAGGAAGCCGTATCGGGCAGAGAAAGAGTAGGTGGTCCATATCAGTATTTCGAAAAATCTAAGTGATAATTTACCGAGACAAGAGTGATGACACGCGAGGGAGGAGATGTTTCTAAAGAAGTACAATATTAGATTTTGGATTTGACCGTTTTAAAGCTTTCGAATACTCAGTTTTAGATTTGAAGCTTTGTTGTTCGAGGAATGAAATTACTATGATTGTAAAAGAGTATTTCTTATTGCTATCCTAATTCCTGATAATCGCAAAATTTGGACAGTTATACGCGAAATGTATTTAAGAAATAAAGATGGGACACAAAAAGTTTTCTTTTGTGACGCGCAGTGCAAATTGGTATCGTTGTATCGAATGGCGTTAAAGTATATTTAACACGTTACCAGTAGCGATAAAGCATGCGGGGTTTTAGCGGATATACTTATGAATCGGTTCAGAAGTGAAGGAAGAGGTGGGCATAAATCAGATGAAAAATCAGCGAACGAAGGTATTTCGGTAGTTGAAGATACAGCTTCAGTCTGCGGTAAATGTTTGGTGTTGGAATTGTTGAGGTTAATTTGTCCAGTAGTGCCTAATTGATTCCCTTATACTGTCGTGACATGCATAGTCTGCACGAAATCATTTTATGTTTCCGAACTAGTAAAATTCGCTGCATGTTATTATTGATTGGATGAAGTCGAGGGTGGGTTAAAATCATCCCGCGAATTTAGGTGCATTCGGGTAACTCGAAGGTCAGAGCTAAGAATTCATACTATAATGGATGTATGTTATTCTAAAAGATTAATATATTGGTAAGATGGGATGATTATGAAGATATTGCTGGAAGTATTGGAAGGAATAGTCTTTTGCATATCCTTATAGTATTTCAACTGAAATGCTAAGAGAAAAGTAATGAATAAAAGTAAAACTAAACGGTGATTATGTAATGGAAAGTTCTCTTTTCTTGCAACGATAGGAAATTTTCCATCGAGTGTTTATGAATTTCTTATCCTTAGTTAATTGTCCACAGAATTAACATATTTCACAGGTAAACATTCTCAATACATGCACAATTCAAGTCGCCAACCGACATTTCAGTAAGTTTATTGCATTGCATCAAAATGACTATTGTAGAAATAAAGAACTGCAAAGATACAGAAGGAAAGAAAGAAGTTCGACTTAGTTCAAGGGATTTGGGGGATTCTTCTTAAATCAGGCATAATTAATTAAAAAGAGTCTCTTAGGTTTCAGGCAAAAGCCTGATATTTTCTTTTTATTAAGATTTTTGTAAATTGTTTTGAGTAAATTATGTCTCTTATGTGAGGCTATCATAACTTATTAAAACTCGAAGTGCAATTTATTAATTTCTAATAATAGTAATGCTTGGAGAAAATAAGAGGTGTTAAAATTGTGTGCATATTTTTGTTTGTATTTTTCTCTGTTTGCGTGAAATATATAGGGAAGAATGGAGGGAATTTTTTGGACAGCGAGTGAATTTGAAACGAATAGAGAAAGATTGTTTGAGTGGTAAACTTCGTGGCTCGCATGTTCGATCTATTATTTGGAGGGTTAGTTTCTTCCACTCATATGTTGCTGAAAGTAAGGCATATTCATTTAAAACCATTAAAATGCAAGCAAAAGATAAAGTCACGTCCAGAATTTGCATAAATAAAGTGCTACATAAGTTTTAGATTTAGGTGTATTATTGATTATTCAGCTGCTGAGTCTCATTAATTAACCTTAATTTTATTTTTAGATTCTACTTCGTTGTTTACCTCTTGAACGAGAAGAATGGTGCACGATTCTGGCGCGAACCCGTAATTCATACGATAAATTGAAATCTGAGGCCGGTATTATGCATATTTAAATAAATTATAAATAATATAGAATTCAAAAGTGCCAGTTGTAGTTTCTTACGAAGAAAATGGATGAGCAATCGAACGTAATTTAGTAATTCGGTATTACACTTTATTTTTGTAATGCATCATATACATTAAATATATTAAATGTTTCAGCAAATTTATTAGATTTTATTGTCCAAGTTTTCAGCTATTGACGAATCCGCGCGAGCAAACATCAAGTTTGGATCCAAACGTCAGCAATCCGTTGTCACTGGGTGATGAGGTAATGTATTTTGCTGTGATTATTTTATTATTTTCAATTTTTTTTAAACCGAACAGTTGTTATTGATTTTCAGAATCCGTGGCAACAATATTTCATTGATTGCACGCTACGTGAATGTATAAATCGTGATGTAGAACGAACGTAAGTTCCCGTTTAGATATTATATTAATTTTCGTTTTGATTTAGTTGAAAGTCTTGTGTTTAAACAAGTTTCTATTTACAATTGGGAACTAGAAAATTTTTTTCAGATTTCCAGAATTGGAATATTTCAAAGACGAAAATGTGCGAACCATTATGTCAAATATTCTCTTTATATATGCGAAACAGCATTTGGATATTTCCTATAGACAGGTATTTTAAATTTTTTCCGTAAATTCCTATCATATTCAAAATTTCAAATTAACTTATCAAAATGTTTCCAGGGCATGCATGAAATACTTGCAACGCTGATTTTTGTATTGAATTATGATCAACAAACATTTGCTCATTTAATGGAACAAAATAGATTGAAGTAAGCTTCTTGTACCACTAACTTTGCTTTTTCATTCGTTTATTGAGAAACGAAAGAAAATTTTAAGTGTATTTCTTTCAGCTCGTGTGTGAATCATATAAGATTTTAAATTTTATTTAATTCTTAGTTCGTATATTTGTAATATATTTCCCTGTTCAGTCCACTTCATGTCTTACTGATAAATTCTGTGTCTGTATAAATATAAAAGCGTTTTACTAATCAGTTGTTAATTTAAAGAAAGGAATATGCTCTGTTCAATATTCCTTCTTTAATTTTGTTCTGCAGTACAAAATTTGAATATCTTAGATTACTGTAATAATTTCAGAGAATTATCACCGGAAGAATTGAAAATTCTATGCGCTATCAATAATCAGGATTTCCTTGAACACGACTCTTTGTTAGTTTTCATATTTTTTGAATTAAATATTTCTACATGTATGCTTGTCTGTGTCCGCTTATTAATTTTATATATTTTGAACTTTTAAAATTTCTTGCTTCGGAATAAAACTGTGAAATTTTTTTCCATGTTGCGTATTTGTTGTTAGTCTGCTAGGAAATCCAGAATTTTGGATCAGCTGGATAATGTATTAGTAAAGAACTGTAGAATTTAGAGACGTCTGTTTTTTTCGTGCTTTGCCATCATTTATTTGGCTGCCCTCAGAAAAAGATTATACTTATGGGTTTTGGTAATCTCACTCTGTTAGTATAACTTCCAGCCGAATCCTAAATAATCTAAACTGGTTTCTTTCTTTTTTATTGGCCAACCGTTAGCAATGGTTTGTTGAATACTTTTTTTATTCTTCAATAAAAACAATACTTCAGTAGAAGGAATTTTAATGTCCCCACTACTGTCAGGTAAAATTGGCATGGAAAACATTGATAAACACTTGGCTTAAGTTTATCAACACTCTCTATGCCAATCTTATCACGGTAAATGTGCCATGAAGTGTCATCTTTTTTCACTGATTTCTTTTTCTGAATTGTTACTTTATTTAATCTTTATCCACAGTGAAATATTCGCCCAATTAATGATGATGTTGGAACGGTGGTACTTGGCTGATGATGAGGAATACGTTGAATATTCCAATCGTGCTTCGAGAAATAATGACAAACTAGGCTATTCCGTACCATTTGTTAGTCCAGATGATTCTTCTGATGATTCGAGAAATGAATTAATTATTAAGCTTCGAAGTATTATGAATAATATATTGGCAATAGTTGATCCTGCAATGCATCAGCATCTCTCGAAATTGAAGATTTTACCACAAATTTATGGAATGTTAGTCAAAATTTATTTTCGAACTACCGTTTATGAACGATAAATTTCCGAATTTGTGAACGGATAAATAATTTTTCATATCTATCTTAAAATTACAAAAACCAAAACATAATTTGACCATATTTATAAGTATGTTCACGGATTGGAAATGCTGACGTTATCTATGTGATTATAAATTAGCTATATATGAATTGTTTTGAAATATTTCATAATAAACTTTTAAATTTCAAAAAACAATTGAATTTCCTGTACAGGAATCATGAATTTCGATTATTATTTGTGAGAGAGTTCGACGTTTAACTCATTGAATTCTTTACAGTCGCTGGTTACGATTATTATTTGGTCGCGAGTTTCCAATTCACGACCTGTTATTTATATGGGATGCTATATTCGCTTTCAGGCCACCATTATCTTTGGTGGACTATATTTTTGTCGCGATGCTCGAATATATTAGACATTTAAGTAAGTTTAGACAATTTTTCCCAAACTTTCTAGCAAGTATATATTATTATTGTATGTATATGGAAAATACTCTTATGACTAATTGAAAAAATACTGTTATATTTTAATCGGCTCCAGTAATCTTAGTGTAGAATCATATTTTCAGTTATTGATGAAGATTATAGCACAACATTACAATATTTAATGCGTTATCCACCAGTAGCTGATGCACATTCCTTAATTCAATACGCTTTACATATAAAATCACCCAAAGTATGATTGTAAGATTATTTTCTAGAACAACTCTTTTGTGTAAATTTTTATCATTTATGAATTATACCACTTATCCATTTAATTCAAAGTATTTATTGCCCAATTGCTTGTTCAACGGATGTAATGTACTTTACTACCACATATTTTCCTCGCTTTGCTAATTCTCGCATTGCCAACTGTTCAAATTAAAATATCAAATCAGTCTGCGTAGTTTTTGCGTGGCTGCGCAATACAGTTACAATTTTTATGTCATTCAGATTATAAATTTTTGCAGAAGTTTGAAGTACCACACACTCTTAATGTTACGAATTTTGAAAATATAACAATCGCTGGGGTGGTACATCCAAATCGAACCAAGAATGTTGTTGAAACGAAAACTGTTGTGGAAAATCAACAGCAAATAAATTTACCAAGGCAAACAAATTTAGCAAAACATTTTTCATCATCGGGAATGATATTATATAATGCTAATAAAAATAGACAGCAACATGGTGATATCAAATCATTCGTTGCTAAAATTGTGGACACGGTTTCAGATCGAAACATGGTTGAAAGAGGTAACTTGATAGATATAGAACTTATTAATGTTTTGTGAACTGCTAGTATTATTCTTAGTTTTTTCAAGATTTATTAAAAATTTATGTAGGGAAATATTAGTATTTTAATCATATATTAAAGTCAAATGAGGTGTTACATAAAGTCCCTGTTCGTCATTATGTCATAGTTCAAAGTCGGAACTTGAATTCGCAATCGGAACGCTGTGGCTTAATTAATTAATATGTTATTTTGTTGTTCAGCTCATAGATACAATATGAATATTGAAAAATAACGAAAGCAACTCCCTTTTGTTATGCATTGGTTTTGTTATAGGACTGATTCGTTCGCAAGTGAATTGCAGCACAAGTAACCATATTGGTATGAAAGCTTCAGACGAGGTTAGCTTCTTGTGATTGTTTTACTTCTATATAAGTTCAAATTGTTTTTCATTTTATAGAAGTGACTGTAAGTCTTGTTTTTAACCATCAAAATTTCCGGTTCAAACATGTATTTAGGTAATCGAGCTTCTGCAAGAGCAAGTGTCATGTTTGCAGTCAAAACTGAATGATATGAACATGATGGCTGGTATAGTAAAGCGGAGGATTAATCTCTTGATCGGTATGTTTCTTTTTTCTAAGGATGTTTTTTCTGGAGATATTTATTTTTTGGACATGGATCAGAAATTCATAGAACTTTTTCATTCGTTTATCAAATTTATCAGAATTGGTTAGAGCATAGTATAGTGTATTACAACAGGAATAAGTTGTTGCTACAGAAATTAATGATTGAGTGTTTGCATTCCTTTCCATCACCATACGTTGATGACTGGATTAAATAAATATTCGAAAAATATTTGAAGAACGATGAATGACTGTATGAATCAAAATTTCTGATCATATAATATATAGATAAACTATAAAGCTATAGATAAATATTCCATAAGATATTTCAACAAACAAACTTTTTTTTACTTTCTTCAAAAATATAAATTTTTTGTCTTTTCACTTAAATTATCAAATTATTTTTCCCAGATGAGCAACTGCCGAAAATAGTTGGTAATGACGATTTAAAGAAACTAATAGAGAAAGAATTACGCAGCATCCGGTCTCAGGTTGAGAATGCTGTACGGTCAGATGCTAATCACACAAAAGTGACAGTTTCCACAAGAGATACAAGAAGAGTTGATCATGATATTGCTGTGGGAAGTAGTGCTATAGAAGTTGGAAATGAAGTATATGCTCCGACGGTTCGGTCATTCCATAACGGTACCGGTTCGCCTTCGATGCTACGGCTTCAAACTTCTCGACGGGACACTGAAATGTGTGTGATAGGACCTCATTCTGTTGTTCAGTAACCCAACCATGATATTTCGGTTTCCATATATTGATTTGATTCATAATGCGCTCTAAAACTAGTCATTATTAGAAGTTGTCCATATAATCCTTTATTCAGATTTTGTTTGAATTCTTATTGAATGATGAAATTGATGTTACTTATGAACTTTCTATTAATTAAGAACCAATCTTTCATCTTCATCATCGTGATAAAAATATCCAAAGGCATTTGTTCTGAATTTTCAACAACTATTCACTGATATTTTTAATCATATGTTTCATCCCAAATATCCATATTCATATATTACGAATTGTTTTAATGTTATTCAGAACATGAACACCTTGTAAATTTATTTCATTCTTTCATTTGTACAGCTCTCTTTTTTTCATTCATTAATTTTTTTTCTTTCTCTTACATTGTATTTTGCTTATTTACAAAAAAAAAAAAAATTCTCAATTCCAATATTCAGAAACGAATGTTTGTAGATATCATTTCAATCGCCGAGTAAAAGCAGGATTGGTTTTATATTACATTTACGAAAGAATAGTATTATTTACATTAATTTAATATTAATTTGTGTCATAAAATTATATTGCATTTAATATTGCGAGCATGATTTTCTCTAAATTACGGAAACGTAGCACAATTAATTGGTTATCATATTAGAATCATTTCACTGAAAATTGCTTTGTATTTGTCTTTAACCTATTATTTTCTGTATCACTCACATGGCGGCGGTTCAGCTGTAAATAATTTTGTTAACCGTTCAAATCGCCTTTACATTTATTCAATTTTCGCTTACATTCAATCTGTTTAGTTCCATCTTTAATTCACTATAAAACTGTGCATAACACCGAATTTTATTTGCTGTATTATTTCCGAAGAAATCTCAATGGCAATTTTTTCCAGATGTGTCCTGTTAGCTGCAATAAATGCTATCAGAGCGATGATAGTAAATCACCATAACAGCAAATATTATCAACCTACGAACAACTTACATATTTTCATTAAGTCTTTTTCTCGACCTAAACAGATCAGAAATCACTTCTGTAACCTTTTTTAGATTTCTTCAAGATCAAAATTCAAGCAGTTTTTTTCTGAAATCTCAACATTCCCACTATGCTATGCTACACAAAAATGTTATACTCAATGATCGGAGATTCCGACGAATATTTTTGAACGCATTTCTAATATGTTTTCTATTATATCACTCGTCAGAAATATAAAAAGGCTGGCTGATTTTTCTGATTCTCTTAGTGCGAAAATGTAGAAAATGTTTTGATGGAGAATGAATTTAAATAGATATTTTAAATGAGAGAATTGAAAGGATAAATCAATTCGAAGTTTCCAAATCAATCTGAGACATATACTGCAAATATAAGCAAAACAATGAATCTCTTAAAACAGTATAATCGGGTCAGATATTGAAATTAACAGATGTTATGTTAACTTTAATAATTTGCCTTCTCTATGTCATTCAGTTAGTGCAATAATTTTTTGCCATAAACTACTTCAGTAATTTCAATTCTTTTTTAATTTCTATCTTTAGATTTTCCATACATCTTTAATCAATCATTCTGTCAATCTCACAAATTTATGATCCCATCTCTTAACTCCACAGAAGTTGTTGAGAAGCACACCATCATACTTCTAATAAATTTTATAATCATTTTAACGATAAATTACAATATATAACACGACAGCAAGTTTTAACTGTGGTCATAAACAAAATCATAAACAACAACAATCGATTTCTTAAAGTTGAATTTGACTTTGTAGAAACCTTAAATTGTATGCAAATTAAATATGACAAATCTTAAATTTTGATCATCATATCGGTGGAAAAATATATGAAAATAAGGAATTAGTTTTTCAACTGTATGAAATATCTGACAAATTGATAAGATATACAGTAATGATTTCAATGAATAGAATTGTATGCAATATGCAGAGAATAAAGCAGGCAATCCACAAAATTTGCGTTATTTTCAAAATGAAGTACAGTGAAACTTCGATAGCAATGAAAATTTTGAATATCCTGGTTTACTTTTTCAATCGAACTTTTAATAGACTTAGAATTGCTGTCTAAGCCAGGGCTAGGAATAAAAAGACAAAACTGCGATTGATTGCTGACAGGATATATTATTTACTTTTAATTTTGACAGGAGCTTTATAAAATCGGGTACTTTGATTGTAAAATGATCTGTGTATGATTGAGTTGATAAAGTGAAGTACTTCCAGAAGTTACATTTCATCGATAACAATAGTAAACAATCAGCAGATCCTACTATCAGTTGAAACTGAATTGGAATGAAATCGCAAGTAAGCAACAGTCACTGTGCTTTTTGATTCTAATAATTTTTCAGTTTCTAATATTGAAATTAGTTATGATAAATTAAAAAATCACTTGATATATCTTACTCTTTTTGCTATATCGACAGATCTCAACTGACGTAATTGAGGTCGGATTGCTTCTTAATTGCATGAAAGGCAATTATGAGCTTAACGAGTAGAAGTGACAAAGATAATGTTGCCCTGTATGATTTACAATGTTTGGAAAGGAAAGTGATTAGAATTAGATGTGTGTTGTTAATTAGTCCGTGAGAAAGTAATTTGATTTCGAAATTCCTATTCGAAACATTTCATTTTTCATTTGCAATTACAGTTTGCGATAATAAAGTATGAATTTGGCTATGTTGATAAAACCATTTTAATGGACCAGCGATCAGAATGGATATGGAATTTCTATTCTATAAATAAAAATGGAAATTAATTCCTATTAGTGAAAAATCATTTGAAAGTCTATTTGCAATTCATATAATTTACTAAAGCGGCAATAAAAAAGAAAGAGACGATAAAAGGAAGATAAGAGGTCACCAGATGACCTTAATTTCAACACCTAATTACTTTATATAATCTAGTAATTTTCAAGAATCTCAGTAGGAAAGTTAAAAATTCACAAAAAAAGATTTTCTTCATATATTTTGTCACTTAATATTACGCTCACTGAAGTAAGCGAGCATTTTTTGTACAAGCAATGACTTTTTTCACATTTCGACGAAGTTTTCGAGTTGAAATTATATTAACAAACCGAACTTATTGTTAAATTTAGAGGGAAAGAAAGAAAATATTCAGAACTTGTCCATTGTTAGCACAAAGTGATTAATGATCTCAGTAAACAGTTAAATTTCAATTGATTAATAAATAAGTTAAAAGGAAAATATTCAGCTTTACATTAGCGAACGCATAAAAAATAGCTTATTCATTATTTAACTCTCTTTTTTCACTTTAAAAGATCTAACTAATTTTCTTGAACTAAATTAAAATATGAGGAGGGAATCATTTTTTAATTAAATATTTATTGTTTTTTGATTTACAGAGCTGTTCCAGAAATTTCAAAAAGGTAATAAAACTGGAAAAACACTGAGTGTATTTGTAAAATAAGGACTCTGTTATCAAATCGTAATTTGTATATTTATTTTATTTTATGTAGTACAGGCTCAATCGGTGTGCACATCAAACGAATATGTTAAGTAGTGAAAAGTTGGATTACATTTTCTAATTCTCGAATTCTTCGAAAACTAATTCATCTGAATTGAAATGAAAGCATTGAATTTTGATTCCATTAGATGAATCTTGAAATATCTTCAATCATTCGAATTTATAACATTGTAAAACAGATGATAAAGTGGCTGAGATTTTTAATCGGTTATGGCAGCACATTTCAGAAGCATATCAAACTAGAAAAGTTTAACTGATTAAATTCTCGTATTTTGATTTGAGTGAACTCATTGATGCAATTTATATGTTTTGGACTATTTCAGTTCAGCTCAAGTCATTAGTTATAAAACACAGATAATTAAAGCAATACTAATCTGCTTATTGGAAGGCAAAATTTAAGATTATCCAAATTTTGAGATTATGAAATTTGAATTTGAATTCGTACATGGAAGTTTTAGAACTATATAAGCACAAATTTGAATTTCGTGTAAAGCATACTTTTTTTTTACTACAGTTGAAATTTTTTTTTGAAGGTGAAATTTTTCTTTTCTCATTTGATGAAAAAATAGAAAATGAAAATCTTTTGATTTTTATCCTTTATTTTTATTAAAAATTAGATAGATGGAATACACATTTGCTCTTTCTTTCTTCTACATAAAAAATTTTTTAACAAAAATTGGTGGAAAAAAGATATACTGTATGAAATCTTTGAAAATTTGTAATTATGATATTTTGAATTTCGAAAAGTTCCGTAATATCAGATTATTTCTTTAATAAGTAAATCGGTATAGCTTTTACCATCGCAATACTGAATGATATTTATCACAGAGGTGCTCAATTTCGATTTAATTTGAACAGGCAAAAAGTAATAATTTATTTACTTGAAATTTTTTACCAAAATTCTCTTTATTTTGATATCAATCTACAAAAACTGTCATTGATTTAGTGATTAACTGAAAAAAATTCTTTTAGAAAAATCAATTTGTGAAATATTAATGACATTTTTTCAATCTTCGACTTGCTGATGCATCATTTTTAGTATGATATATCCTTGATGATACCAAAATATTTAAAATACCTCCTAGAAATGTTTATTCAACAAACTCGAAGTTTAAAATTCAAATTTAGGTGCAAATGTAAATTCTCATGCAGAAAAGTAATTGATGTCATATCATCCTTGCACAAGTGTAATTTCTATCGTTATAATTCATCTTCAAGTATATTATAAAATTCATGAGAAGCTAATTACATTTGACCGTTTTCAATAACTCTTCTGATCAAAGAGTGAGGTCATAATCATTGTATCCGTTGATTGAAAGTCAGTTGAACTCTCTTCTTCCATGGCGTAAACATAGACATCACTTCTTCTTTCGCTATTATTTAGAATCAAAGATTTGGAAAAACATCCATTGCAAAAATTAAATACAATCTTTTGAGGGCGGAGCAGTGACCACCTGAGATGGGAGGGATTTTGAGTTCGGGAAAGGTATAAATGAATGAGATACGGCCTTTGTACTTGTATCTGAACAGCAGAAATCATTCACAGCGTCTTGTTGGATTCAGCAAAATATCGACGAAAGAAATGGAAAAATTTGGAAACACGACGCCTGATAAATCGAGATGCAAATCTCCAGAACCGCCTCCGCACCAACCAACTTTCACGTCAGCGCCGTATTGTTCTCGTCAATGTGCGTGTGAGAAACGAAAAAAGCAAAACGAAGTACATGCTAGAATCATGAATTGGCTGATCAACCGAGTTAGTTATTTTTCAAAGTATGAAGAGAGTGAGAGAGAGGAAGAAAGTAAAGAAAGAAAGGAAAAGTAATAAATTCTAATTGTCATTTCTGATTTTGTTATTTCATTTTGATCATTTATAATTTTTCGTCTCAATTGCAGAAAAAAGGAGATGAAGAAAATAAAGATTCCGGAATTTTTTCATCGGATGATGAATCGGACAAAGAAAACCGACCTCAAATAAGCTTTGCAAACTGCACTGCAGCTCGGGAATGATAGCAAAATTTTTTCTTTTTTTGATTATTTATTTTATTGTTTGTAAAATTTTAATTAATTATTTATTATTTATTCTATGTTTTATAAAGGGAAGTTATCACATCCCTGGCAGGAATTAAAGTGTCATTCGTTTAATTAGTGCGGGAATTTTTATTTATTTTTTCATCATTATCGCTGCAATCACCACATTTAAAATTGTTTAATAAACTTTTAATTGTAAATAACCAGCGCCCTTTTATTTAAAGAACGCTTGCTTTGATTGGTTGGCATAACTTTTTAAGTAATAATAAAGTTTTTTCTGTTATTTTTGTTCTACTTACGATACACTTAATATTAGTAAATCATTTCTGATTACGTTCCCATATTCGATTATGAACTCAAAATTAGGTCAAACATTCCAATTGCATCGCATCCTTTCAAATTGCTAATATATTTTAACGCTTCCCATTTACGGGAAATATTCTGTTAGTAAAAATTTGCAGAACTATATTGAAAATAATATATATTGATATATTAGAAATAATATGTATCAAATATATTAAAAATAATAGATATTAATACATTAAAAATAATATACCTTCGAGAAAAGTCCGTTTGAATAAATTATTGTTTCTTTAATTGAAAAAGAAAATATTTCCATTAGTCGAATATTTCAATTAAATCATTTTGGCCACTTTCTATCATTTTTTTGCAAATTCCATCTTGCTTAAACTTTTCATCAGTTACTCTCTGATGTTGACATAGCAACATTATAAGTGTAAATGCTTTATTTCTTTCAAACCAATTTTATTTTGGTAGTGTCCACATTCTTCCTTCCATTGTTAACAATTTTTCAATCATTCTTTGTTATTTGTGCAGAAATGATTATTTTAATCGAATTAGCCACTACAATAACTACTGTTTTAAAATTTTCAATGGTTTTATTAGCTGTATTCTTTATAAAAGTCAATTAAAAATACTCCTTAATTGGATCGATAATGGTTAATAAGCTATTTTAAAAAGTTTCTCATTGCTCCATAAACTGAGACTGAAAAATTGTCTTAATTAAAATTAGCCAAAAAAAACTCAAATGTTAGTAATTTAAAATACTAATAATTCTAAAAAGCTATATTTTTTAAATTGATGGAAATAGTAACTAAGTTCAATGAGGATTGAAAATAAAACAATATAAAAATATTGTAATAACAAATTTTGCAAGAAATCTTCTTGCGATGAATTATTTTCATTATTAATAACCTTGCGAAAACGTGAAAAACAAAGAGAATTAAACGTGGAGAAGCGTTTTACGAAGGAACGTTCATTTGTATTCGAATGATTGATATATGTAGATGATTAATATGTAAATAACATTGAACTACGGCTTTGGAATGATAGGAATTAGTGCAATTGAGAATAATGTAAAATAGATGAAGCTTGTTCGACCAATCAGTAATCAGTATAATTTACTTTCCGGAAAGAGGCTTTTCCCTTTTCTGAGAAAGGCAAACACTGCCGGAAAATCGAAAAAATTAAGCAAACAAATATTAAAAACATTTAGCACAATTTACGTTTAGCAGAACCCGAACTTTTGAGTATGCGTTATCCTTTTTGCTTAAAACTTCGGAAACACTGTGAACATATATTAATCCTCTTGAATTTGTTAATCTTATTGGTTAAAATAAAGCTTTTCTTCATCATATATAATTTATAATTCGTATAAAACAGAGTATATGCAATTGCTGAACGTTTTATTTTCAGTTTCAGTATTCTTTCTTTTCCTCAACATCCAATCCAAAAATTTTTTTGTCATTCCAAATTATGCAAATTTCCATCTCCATTTTTTAGTTTTTTGAAATTAGAAATTCAACCTAACAACTATTACTACAGCTGTAGTAATAATAACATTTGTTATTCCTACCGTTATTATTATTATTATCACTGCTATTGTTACTATTATTGTTATTGTTTTTATTGCCCATTATTAGCACCATTACTATTATTTAAACTATTACTGAATGGATATATTAAAATCACGAATTTTTTTCATGCTTTTCTTTTGCTGCAAATTGAAAATTGTGTTTAACTTAATTTAATTATATTTTTTTATCATTGTCCACTTATATTCATATTTAACAGTATTTAAACGAATGGTTTGCAGCAAAAAATGAAGAATGACAGAAATATCGCAAAGCTACGCCGTAGAATTTTTGGTTTTTAAAAATTTTGTATTGCACAAAGTCAAATCGCCAAGCTTCTATTTATTTTATCGTCAATTTTTAAAACTTTGAGTGACTCACTTCAAAACCCCAGAATTTGGCTAAGTTTAAGGATCATTTTTTGGTAATTGTCTTTTCTTTTTCCAAAACAACTAATAAGCAATCTTTCAAAAAAGTTTTATACGGTGATAAAAGGCTGAAATTCTTCATATTTCGGATGATAACCAATGCTTATTTGTCACAACGATGTTATGCCAAATTTCCTAAGCTTATACTTTATTAGAAGATTTAAATTTCATATCGGAAAATTTAAATCTCCGAATAGTGTCAATTTATTTTAGCTCATATATTAATTAAACATTTGTGACTATCCATTAATAAAGTTACCCCTTTTTTAATTTCAATTTTTTTTGAATTTGTGAGCCATCAGTGCATCAATAACTCATCAATAACTTAGCAAGCAAATAGATTGATATGAAAGTTTTACTTAATTTCTTTTGTCAACAGGCAAATTATTAGAATTTTTTTTTAATTTGCTATAAACGGAAGCGTCGAAACAATGTAGACTGATCAGTTAAAGCCGTTAGTGTATTCTTGCTATGATAAGGGATATAGCAATGCTTGTGGGCAAAAAAGGATGGTTATCGGATAAATATGAATTCAATGAAATTTATTTATTTCGGAGAGAGGAAGAGTGTTGCGATTTACGAGAAATGGAACAAACACGGATTATGTAGTAGTGCAGATGTTAAGTTGAACTTTCAATGTAATTATCCGGAAATGAATCGTTCCATGAAATCCATTATAAATAATAATGCAGTTAAAAATTGAGGGGTTTGTAAAATTTCATAAAAAATTTGATTTTTCCGTTTTATTTCAATATATTAACATCCAATAACGAATATGATCTTTTTTCCATTTGATGGTGCGGAATCAGTCTATCATTGATCAGTGCTATGCTATAATAAATTATCATCAAACATTCCGACTTTTTTATTGCTCAAGAAAAAAAAAATGTTATTTATGTGAATGTTAAATTAAAAGAATTCAACGAAATTTTTACAATTTAAAAAATTGAATTTTCGATATTAATGCACATTGCCAATCGTCTCTTCTGTTCTTTTTTTCGCATAGTTACCCGTACCAAAAAGGACACCAGTCAATATTGCACCATAATAAATTGTTTCAGTTATTGCCCAAAATTCCAGCTCCGTTTTTTTCTTTTGTTAGAAATAATTGGTGCAGCTGCACCTGTGTGTATATGTGTGTGTGTATGTGTGTGTGTGTATGTGTGTGTGGTGTGTGTGTAATCAGTTTTTTCTATGGAAGAATGAAAAAAAGCGAAAAGTGACTTTTCGAAATGTTTGAATGATCAGAAATACGACAATAATTAGTTAATGCGATAAAATTATTCGACGGTTAACGTTATTGTTAGGATAATTTTCAGTTCAATAATTCAATGTGTATAACATTACATTCGAAAAATTAAAAGATGATTTTAATAAATTTTCTTTTAAGAATAAATACGATTGGAAATTACTGATAAAATTTTTTCTTCTCGATGATAATATAACAAATTCTGTTTGAAATTTAATTTTTCGTGTTTTTAAATGGAAATTGCGTATTTCTAAAATTCTTTTTTTTGGTAAAATTAGTTCACAAATAGCTCTGAAGCATGCATGCATATTTTTATAAGCATATAACGACATATATACAATAATATTGCGTGTACATAACAGTTCATAAATTTATGTTTTAAAATAACATTTATTTTATAGATAAGATTTTTGACTCTGGTTTGCATTCTTTTCGACAACTTCTAGATGCCTCATACAATTTGCTATTCACTTTGTACTATCATTTTTTTTGGATACTTAATTACTACAATTACTTTAACAATTACTTCGAAAAAACGGTCCACTAATTGATATATTCAAGTAAATATGAAAAGCAAAACAAAAATATTGCGTGAATAGGAAGAAAAATGTCACTATTCACTAAAAAAATCGAGCGGAAACAAATTGATCTGACTAAAACAAGAATTATAATTAAATAACTCAATTGCTGGAAACAGCCGTATTACATAAAAATGAATATAATTTATTCTGTGCATATCTCTCAATCTTATTTCATAATATCATCCTTGCACATTTGTGATTTCAATAAATTAGTTAGCTTAAATAAGCAAGCATATGAATTACCATGTAAAATATCCGTACAGAAACATTCACCTAAAATGAAAAAATGATTCCTCAATTTATGAAAAGTTTTTAAAAGAATCAGCATTGCTTATTGTAGTAATTGTCATGCAATAATACTTTTTCCACTGCTTTTAGCAATATGTTTGGCCATTTTCTTTTTGCATTTTTTGGTTGAAGAATTTTTTCACTGAGAAAATTTGATCATTCGCTTGCTTTATCTTATTTTGTTTCTGAAATTTATTGTTTCAAATTTATCTTCACTATTTTCAATATATTCTTAAGTGATCTCAAAACGAGAAATTTCAAGAGGGGAAGGGGATAGGTCTTTTTTGGTCATTTTTTTTAATATATAGGTCACTTTTCTTCTTTCAGGTCATCTTTGCTGATTTAATTAATTTCTCATTTAAGTTTAAATCTAATTTAATTTCTTAAATCCTCATTTAAGAGCAAAAGGTATGGAAGAGTTTGTGGGAAATATTATTGTTAAATTTTGAAATGATAAATCACTATGAATATTTCGAATTATAGAAAAAATGCTATTGCAAGCATGTATATCACCTTACTACATGACGCATGACAAATCATTGGTGGTACAATTAGTGATCGTGTAATTTTCTATGATTAATCATCCTACAATACTTTTCCGTGTACTTATTTGCTTGTTTTATCTTATCGCAATTATCTGTAATAAGTTATGTCAATTGAATTTTTGTATAATAATAATAATAATTTCTTTTAAATGTTTTTCTATCCTGTTTTATTCTATTCCACTCATTTGATTGGGTTTCTTTTAGCAAGGGGAAGAACTGAGAAAGATATGAAATAGACATAAGCGTCAACTTTGACCTTGAAAAATTTTCGAACAATTACTGGTGATGCTATTTCTTGACTGCTTGCTTTCTGCTACCTCCCATCTGAACTCCTCCAATACCATCTGTGAATGTGTGTGAGTGTCTATATGAATGAAGTTAACATATTTTCCAACAGTCAACTTCTTAAATTCTTTCTTTTCCTTGAAGATAAAATTTTTAATTTTTTAAAAACCAAATTTTTTCTAAAAAAAACAATAAAAATAGGTGGGAATAACATGAGAAGGAAAAGAGAAGAAGAAGGTGGAAGGAAAGAAGGGGCGGAATGCGGTATGTGTCAAAGTGCGTCAGTCGCAAGTTGTTAACCTTGAAGATTTTTTTTTGTGAAAAAGCTGTCCAACGAAAGCCATTTTATCATCGATGACAATCTGTCCACTCCGCCAGCCAAATATCTTCCCTCTTTAAAGCAGCATTCTTTATATACGCCTTTATTTCCAAATTAGTCTCTGAACCAAATTTCATTTTCATTGACCTTCTCTTCTCTGAATGTATATATTATGCCAATTTGTTCAACACTTTGTTACTCTCTTTTTAAATTTTGAAATTTCATCATAAAGGCTAGCATATTGAAATTTTGTGCTGTTTCACTTATTACTTCATTCTTACTTATATTAGAGCAGTAATAATAAAACTAGTTTTGGATAACTTTTCAAGGATAAATTTTATTAATTTTAACCTGACCGAAGTTTATTTTTCAATTTTTACGATGATATCATTTGTTATTTGACTCCTTTCAAAATTTTGTTTAGATCGAAAAGTGAAAGGAAATTTTACTCCAATGACGAATGGCAGAGAGTAGCTCCAGTTTTGGTAATAATAATTCAACATTTTCGGAAAAGAACTCAAAAAGGTATATAATTTTCATTTCACTTACAGCATTTGCATTTGATTAATCATAATTTGCATTTGATATTCAAATCTTTTGCAGTAATATGTGAAAGTTTAATTTTTAAATATTTCACTATGTTAATGTTAATAATATGAATTTGTTTATTAATTTATTTCACTCCTTTTCCTGTTTTTCTTTAAAAACACTTTGAAGTAAAACTATACATTAAAGAAAAAAGAAAAATTAATCTTAATCTTATTTATTTTTAAATTCAAATAATTGATTAGTGCTAATAAAACCTGAGCAACATTACATCACTACAAAAAATTAAAAAAAATCTTTTGAATGAAAATATTATAAGTGCTTGGGAGGAAAGTTCTTCCACAGATAAGTTAAGTTAGTGAATAATTGTGGAAGCATTAATAATCAAGCAATTCCGAAGATTTCAATGAAATTAAAAATTTAAGAAAAATTTACGCTCACATTTGCAATTATTTATTTATTCATTGTTGTAGAAAAACTCGAAATGAAAGTGAAAAACGACGCCGAGACACTTTCAATCAGTTAATTAGTGAGTTGACATTATTGGTTGCAAAGGACGATCGTAAAATGGACAAAAGCAGCGTACTTAAATGCGCAATCAATTTCCTTAAACAACAACATTGTTGGTTGTTTCATTTTACTTGTTGTATCACGCAAGATTACAGTTAGGAATATATCAGCGAGTTGAAATAAGTGAGTATCGATAATGATTGCGTGAAAATTCTGGGAAGTAATGAAGAAAAACTAACAAGTGTATAAACAATTTGAATTATGATTTAGTGAAAATTGTGATTGCTGGCATGTAATTACCATTAATTAAAAGTGACGTGATGTGGTGAGGAATGTTAAATTGAAAATTTAAAAGAACAAAAACTCATCTTAATAATTGCCTCCTACGCATAATCTACTGGTTAGACAAATTTGAGCATAAATTTGAAAATATCGTAATGTGAAAAGCAAAATTGTAGTTCAAGCTGAATCGACAAGTGGTGAGGCATCGAACGTAGCATTGGATTCTAAGTTACGCATTACAACCGGTTGCAACCTTCCGGAAATTGTTCAACTTTACATGGATGCTTTAGCAGCCGGGACTTTTTGCATTCACTGTTCGGGACACATTGAACACGCCTCAACCAGCTTTGCTGCACTTTTCGACGATACAGTAATTATCTTCAATTTTCAAAACATTCTTTATCTTTTAGTATCTCTCATTCTTTCTGCATTTGCTCATTTATTCTTTCGAGACTAAAATAATTGCAGCATTAAGAAGTTGAAAAAGCAAATTGACAAGTGAAAGAAAGAAAATTTTTGATTATGAAATTTATTAATTATATCCACAGATTATAACATCACAGCTATAAAAATTAGATTGCAACATTGTTTCCTATTGCTTTCAATTTGATTTTGGCACAAGATCGATATAGTAAATTTTATTTTCAATATTTCATCATTCATATAGACAATTACGCTTATCTTTAAGCAATTATGCTTATGCAATTATTTTAGTATAATTGGTTTTTTTGCATTAATTCATTTTCCAGCAGAGAATGAAATATAGTTTCGTTTTTATTTTGTTTGCTTATATATTTTTATAATTTTATATTTTAATATGTACATTTACTTCTTATCCATTTCTTGTCACCAAAAAACTGATCTTTATCACTAAAGAATTAGGATATTTTTGGTGGTAATCACAGTTAGTCCGCAGCACAAAAAATTTGAGTGTTGCATTTCTACCATTAACACCATAATATAAACATGCAATACGAAAGTGAAGTATTGAAGTTGAGCGGTAAGATAGCTTGTTAAAAGGGAAAATTTTTTTATGCCAATCTTCAAATTCTATTATCATTCCATTTTGTTTTTAATTAAGTTTTCAGATTTTCTGAATTTATTTGAATATTTGAAATAATTTATCAGTTCTGTCGTTTTATATGAAATTCATCGGAGAAAAAATGAAATGAATTTTTCAGATCTATGATTTACAAGGGAAGAATTTCTTCGATTTATTAGACGATGCATCAGCAGAAAGTTTCAGTGGAGCTATATCCACCGAGTTGTTACATTCTGTACCCGCAAGCACCGCTATGCACAGTACGACGACTCTTCAGGAAAGGGTTACAACAAAGAAATTGCGTCGACAATTATTGGTTACCGGTTACTTGAAAAAAATAACACATAATAAGGATTGCTCATGCATGCCGGACACGGTTGCGGAAAGCAAAACTGATAATAGCGCAACAAGGATCATTACAATTATGGCAACTTTTTATGCGTCATTTTTTATTTTTTGAACAGTAAAGGCACTTAATTTAGTTTTTCACTCTTTAATTAGTACATTTTGTTCATGGAAATTAATATACTCCATTTTAAATTAATACATCCTATTTTACTGCGTGAATATGAATTTTGAAATACTTAATGGTATGTGAGGAATTAAATTACAATTGCATATTTACAGTCATTTTTTAATAAACGAGAAAGGTGTGAGCTTTAGTTTTTATGAAGTTTATTTATGTTCATTTATGAAATATGTCTTCAGCTCGTAACAACAGTCTTAGTAAGAAATAAATTAGGGAACGACTGACCGACATGAATTTCATTTTTTGATTTAGGCGATGTTCGATTGATTTTTCAATTCGTGCGAAAAATTTTCCGATATTTTTCTCTAATAATTCGTGTCTTCTAACCAAAATATGTTTGATTTTAAAATAATTCAATTATGATTTTTTCTTTCGTGATGTTCGATTTCAGAAATGTCAAAATATTTTAATTTCCTTAGATGATCCGATAACTCTTAAAAATGAAACAAAAGGGAAACAACGCAGACATTATATTAAAGAGCATAATACTAGGAACCAAATGAATCTCTCCGGTTTGTTGGTGTCATTGTTCCGTTATCAAACCCGCCGGAATCAGAAGTAACGTTGGAAACGATTAGTTCGTGGGAACGAAGAAACGCCAATTTCACCGTTCTATATAATACTGAATTCGTTTGTGTTGATGCTGAAGGATGGTAAACTTATAATTTTAGTAGTGATTTAATTTGCAATTATTGTTCATTCGACTTCGATTTCATTATGAATGCTTTCTAAAGCTGTTCTGACAGCAATATTACCATGGTGAATACAGTCTCACGTACATACGCAATGAAGGAAAGCTTTCAACCTTACATTTCAATCGTTTAACTTCATCCTGACTTTTATCAAATTACTTGCATTAGACATTGGTTACTTTAAATTGATTAATCCATTATACTTTGATACTAAATAAGAATCCATACTAAATAAGAATCCATACTAAACAAGAATCCATTCTACCCAGCATCTAAAAAGAATTCTCCATGTAAATTACTAAATGTTCTGATTTGTATATGTGAATAATTGCAATGATTATTGTTTTCAGCCAATTATTGGGTTATAGTCGACTTGATCTGCTTGGTACAAGTGGTTATGATTATATTCACATGGACGATTTGCTACAAGTAGCTGAGAGCCATACGCAGCGTAATTTCATTTACCATCTCTTTGTACAAATGCAATTTTGAATAATATTTCCTGAAAGAGAAATAACAAAAATTGTTCCTTTAACTAGAAGAAATTTTTAAATCATAAAGGTCAGTAATTTCTTATAAATTATACATTTCATCAATGATTATTTGTCGATTACAACAGTTGAATATGTGTTTTCTGTTTGTTTTTTTAGTGATAAAACTTGGCACTTATCAAATAAGACCACATCGATTGCAAACAAAATCGCATCAATGGATTTGGGTTAATTGCATGGCGATTATTTTCGAAGGTGAAGCATCAATTAAAAAAGTGAGATGTAATTATCGTGTGGTAAGCATGGAGAATGTGAAGAAATTCAAAGAAACAATTACATTTATGAAGTCAAAATCCACCGAAATTCTATTACCATTATCGATAGGTAAGAAAAGAAACAGAAATGATCAGTTGATATTGTTAGAGGTGAAGAGAAGTGATCGAACATAAACCTATCAGTCAACCAATTTATCATTCAATTCTTTTGCTGTAATCTTCAAATATAATAATTGACAGCATTTTTTTAACTTATCTTTTACATACAGTTTTCAAATAATTTCACATAAATTTTAAAATTATTTTTTAGCAGTAAGTAGTGGAAGCAATTCACAAAATCCTCCTTGCACTACAAGTGCTATAAGTACTGTCGTTTGTCCTTTATCAATTACTTCGGCATTATCAGCAGTTGGAAATAATCTCGCATCATTCTGTGCCACAGGTTTGAAATTTTTTTTCACGAAATCTGAAAATGACATTTTTCCTTACTAAATTACGACATGTGCGCGCTTTGTTACAATTTCACACATAAATAAATGATAATGATTCAATGGACAGGATTTTTAAACTATTTAATGAAATAGATGACTCATCATCGGAACAACCTAATGATTCCGTATCCGTTATCGCTTCCGAGAAACATACCAATAGCAGTTGTACAGCTAAAATAGTTATCGGACCGTTACCACCAAAAAGAATGCGAAAAGGAGGATCGAATGTACTACCAGGTAGAATAAATAAAACTTCATTTATAAATTCAAAAAAAGATCACACCAAATATTTTAATAATTTTATCAAATATAAAAAACATAGTCTTAAGTTAATAAATTTTCCTTAACTCATATTTAATTTAAAACTAGCGAAATTTTAGAATATTAATGAAATAAAATCACTGAAATAATATTATAATGGTAAAGTTAAATTAAATTATGGTAGATTATTAGCTATCATTATTATTTTTGTTGACAACATGCTTAAATGACTGCTTCTCACAGTTAAACTTTATGATATGTATATATTAGAGGATCATATCGTTACTTGTGCTCAGATAATATTCCGTCAACTTCATTCGGATGCACATCTTCACGCTGTCAACGACTGTCTACTGCGCTTTCGTCACTATCATCAGAACCATTGTCATCAAAACGACGCAGTCAAATTCCTTTGGCTTTTATTGAGCATTATCCTCTACCGGATTCAAAATTGGCAGATAATAATGAATCACGCAAAAACACGTTAAATTTGACGTTATCCTCTACATCCACGGTAGGACTTTTTCACACTTTGGATGGTAATTTTTATAAGGTTATTTAGAACTTTTTATTTATTATAGTACAAACGATCAATTTGTTTAAATTATTATAACTTTTTCTTAATTGTTTTTTTTTGCTATATTTTGAGAAAAACGAAGAAACGTAGTGTTCTGTAATTTAAAAACTGAGATTTTTTGCATTAGATAATTTGAATAATGTGGCTGACAGGTGACACCAGCAGCTTTATCAATATCACCAATGTATCAGCAAGTTTGGGAAGAGTTACAACACCGAAGCGAAATATTACGTCAGCAAGTGTTTCAGAAAGAAATGGAACTTCGTGAATTACATCTTAAAAGATTTCTTGCATCATTAAACGGTGATAAGTATTAAGAAATTCCTTAACGAATTTCAAAATATCAATCAGATTATATAGCAGGAATTTGAAGCACCGATGAATATCAAATTGATGTATTTGCCTTCAAATGTGTTTCCTTCATGAAGAAATATTTCATGCAAATGTAAAAATGAACGTTAAGTTTTCAATGTTACTGTTTATACTATAATAAAAATCGCTATTGAATTCGAAAAACACAACGGCGTGATCGTTTCGTCGTTAGAAAGATTGTTTTGTCTTCGTTTCAATTTCAAGCATTGTGCTATATGGAAGATATCCAACTTTTTTTCTTATTGCTTCTCCAATTTAAAAATATTATACTACCAAACGCTCATTACGATCTTTTATAATTTAACTAAACTTAAATCTCATAAAGCAAAATCTATTAGCAAAATTAGCAAAATCTTTGGTGATATACCTTCTGGAATATTCGATATTAGTGAAAGTTTGTGTAAATCTTTCACCCGTGACCGCTAAAAAAAGTTACGTTATCGTCGGATGCAAATGTAAGTGTAAAAGGTGCAAATCTTTTTCGTCCTTCCTTTTTTTATAAAAATTCATTCAATTTCAGATTCTTACAATAAAGTATTCATTCAAAATATTAATGAAAAAAGACTTCATTTTTTCCAGTGTAGTGGAGGAAATGAAACTTTTTTCCATTAATTTTGAATGAATACTGTGAAAATCTGAAAAGCAAAAAAGTTTCTTCAAATTTTGTTCTAGCGGAAATATAATTTTTCGTGATTCAGCAGATTTCTTATATAAATGATAACTTAAAGCTGTGATGTTTTCTGGTCATTAGTCAATTCTTCAACATATTTTGTTCACATTTAGAATTAATTACTTACTAATAATTTCGAAATAATTAAAAGTAAAGTGCAGTTTAAACATGACTGATATTAATCATGGGGTAAATATTAAGTGATGGTGATGATAATTATTATCATCAACTTTCAATAAATGATATTATATGCACAATACAATATGCTTTTAATTATTGTGACAAATAAGAAGTGTTAGCTGCGAATGGATAAATTGACAATTAAATTTCAATTTTTTCCTCAAAAAATAAATTATAACGGGTTGCATAATTTTGCAACTTGTAAAAGTTTAAATACAGTTCTCACAATTTATGTTTTTAATAGTTTACAAAAATTCCTGAATGGATTTTTTCCTGAAAACATATTTGTTTCTAACTCTTCTAGAAATCGCTAATAGCAATTAAAATTTGGATAAGTTAATAGCATGTTAAAAAAAACAGCCTTGATGTAAATATATACGTAATCATTATGTTGGTAATAAATGAGGTTCGTTTTATTTTTTTTTTAATAAAAATTTTTGCTGTAAACATTTATTGCCTAACATCGAAAAATTAAAAAACTATTTGATGAGACAAAAATAAATCTTTATGAAAATCTCATTACATATCAATAATTAATACCGTTCAGAACGATGACTTCTTTAATTACTTATAATTATACAAAGAAAAATTTTTAATTATAAAAATGAATCTACCGTAGTCCTGTCTAATTTTGTTTCAATTTATTTGTAGCTCAAAACAAAATAAATAAATTTGTATGCCAATAATAGCAGCAGAAAACAAACATTTATTATTTGGTAAGACAAAATTTTGCAATCAAATGTCAATTATTGTTATTCCAAACATACAATTAATCCTTTTTATCATTGCACTTACAGTAACGATATCTTAAAACTTTCTGGTATATTCATTTCTTACTGATTATGCTTTCAATAACACTCAGTTTGTGACAAATCCTGACAACTGGTTACTGTACAAAGGCAAGACATCATCCAGTAGCAGTATTCAGCTGAAACAAAGCAAGTTAGAAGAAATTATGAATTATTTAAAAACTTACAACTTTAACCTTTAGTCTTTGTAAATTATGTTTGAAATTTAAGATTCAAAAATTAAAGAAGCCAAGAAGTAAACAAAAGTAAACAATAAATATGTTTGCACCAACCAAACGGATTTAGTATGGATGCTTGAAGAATGCAACGACTGCATAATTCCCGTGTGCATTCATCATAACGATCATTTGATTGTAAACAATGTGACATAATATCATCCGGTGAACATCCTGCAGCACACATTCATTCATCTTCCAAGTTTCAATTATTATAACAATTCATGCAAACAGCATTTGCAGTTATGCATGATTGATTGTTTCCATACACATCATAATAAAGCAACGCATTGATAATTAACTTTTTAAGAAATAACTTTAAAGTTTTTGGCAAAGTAATTGCTTATGTTTTATTTATTATTCATTTTAATAAATTTCATTATTTCTGTTGGTTTAATCAGTGCATATATGCATTCAGATTATCTGTCAATATTATAACACAGCTCGATTGTCTGCCAATTATTCCACTTGTTGATTTAAATTTAAAAAGAAAGAAGAAGAAATGAAAATATTCTTTGAAAACTAACCCTGTGAGTTCCTGCGTAAGTAATGTGGATATGCAGCTGATCCCGCTCTAACAACAATAGTCTTATTATCATTAAACAAATTTCCCAAACTAACAGATAGTATCAGTAACATTATGCACAGCTTGCTGTTAATATACATTTTACCTGTGACACTGAACATAAATAGGTAACTGTCAATATCATTAATAAATGACGTTCATTTCGTACTTGTTTAATTTAAGTTTAATAGTTAGTAGTAAACATCAATATTTTAGGTGATAAAAAATATGAAAATAAAGATCTTATTATTACTAAACTTAAACAATACGAAATGAACTTGTAGGATTAGTGACAGAAATGAAAAATGCTTCGAATTAAATTAACTCCGATCAATTTGATGTGTGGTTTATTCGGACGTAATATCAGAAAGAAAGAATGAATTGAAGAAAGTTTCTTTTCAAGTGAAAGTTAAATGTTAATAATATTGCAATGTGTCACAAACATAGATAGCATACAAAAAGCATTAAACTAAAAAAGAAAATTGAAACTAATTATAAGTAAGCATTAAGCCGTAGGAAATCTAATTTGCTGCTTTTTCAATTCATAGTAATCAGAAAGCAGAAAGCCAATACTTTTCTCTACCTTTCATGAATATATATATATAATTTCTTCTTCTGTTTTTCATTTTTTGCAAACCATTTTGTTAACCGAACTTTTTTTCTAACATGTAATTAAATTTTAATATGAAAATTAAGAATGATAAATCTCATATGTTAAATATTATCAATTCAGTTTTTGATTTAGAAAAATTCTAAATCAAATCACAATAGAAATAAAATGAAATTTTTCATCCGAAGCTAAAAGATGAAATAATGCAAATACAATTTTACAATATAGGATACTATTACTAATTGTTTCAGCAATTATGATTTTTATTAAATAATTCACTTCCAAATTTTCAGAGTATTTTTTTAGATATTTATGATTTTAAATAACAAGTGAAGTATTTTTAAGATTTAATAAATTATATAAATACATGTTGCCTAAAATACACACATATACGCATACATACATATGCATGTTTATACAAAATATAAGCAGAAATGAGTTTGCATATACAGAAAATACAAGAACAGCTTTTGATCACTTCACTCAAAATTTGCATATTTCAACATTAAATTTGAGCTTTGGGTTTCATCATAACTAGTGAAATTTAAAAATTTAAAAATCAAATAGAAATTCAAAATCAAATCTTTATAATAGACGATTTTGAAATGATTATGATTACCTTATATTGAACAAACAGATTTACTGTCACTTTATCAAATTTAATTGCAATGGCTAATCCTAAGAGCGTAAGATTTAATTAATTTAGCGAAATATTTGTTTTTCTAAAATTCAATTCAACTCAAATTTATCTGGAAACAATCTGTAAAATCAAATAAGAGAGAAAAACTAATTGAAACAAGTCAGGACATAAGTGAATTTCGTGACGCGGAATGTAAAAAATGAAATAAAATTTGCAGGCATGGTGTTTAAACACGAAAGGTGAAATTAAAATAATGTTTAAACATAAAAATTAAAAACGAAGTAATATTTTAAGGTGACAGGTAAAAATTAAATGACATTTAAACAATTAAAAAGTTGGAAAGCCATAACATTCAATGAACAATTTCGACAAAAAAAGAGTGGAATAAGATGAATACAATGGAAAGAAATATAAATAATTGCAGGAAAAGATATAAAAGCACAGAGTGACTTTTCTATTATAAATTGAAATTAAAGTTGAAAGTATAAGATTTTCTTTTTCATTTCTTTTTTATGCGCTACAAAATCTGAATATCTGTTAAAACACATTAATGACTGGATTTTATCTTTCATTTTTTCAACTTTTCACGATAATTCCTCAAATGTAATGAACAAATATCATTCAAAGTAATGAATTACAATTTATCGTCATATTGCAAATTTTGCTTTTTATTGGCCATTCTAAAAATTAATCAATATGATTCTTCTTTAGATAAAAATTTCCGAAAAATCCTTAAGAGTTTATTCATTGACAGTTCATGAAGGGGAATAAATTTGTTATACTCCAAACTTAATTCGTTTCTCTTTTAACCAACGATTTTTACTTTTTTCAAATTCAATAATCTTAATGGTTTTTCTAGTTTTTACGACAGTTATACATATGCGCTTTTTGATGGATATTCATTTCATGCGGTAGGAAAGCTACCAAGTCTTTTATTTTAAATATTATCACTGATAATTGTTCTTAAAGTCCGGGAATCGAAATTTGGTTTGATATAAAAGCTTCAACAGTTAAAACTAAAAGCTCATATGGGCATTTCTGTATAGATACTTTTTTCGCAAATGAAAAAAGAAAATGAAAAACGATGTATGTTTATTACAAAATTTGTGTGAAATAAATTTTTTTTAAACTTAAACTTGGTTATAATTTGTGTAATTATCTTTTATTTTATTTAGACAATTTCAAACTGAAATTAAACAAATTAAGGAAAAATCGTTAATGTCGAAATTAGATTTTCAGAACTAATAATTTTAGATGAAAATTTGTTTAAAAGAATTGATCATTTTTTCCGAATGGATTTTAATGTTTATTCTTGCATAGGCATAATTTACTACATCAGGGTTGAAATATACCACAGGAAGAAAAACAAATTTGATGGAAGCAATTTCTTCCAACAGTTCAAATGTCTCTCAGTTCGTGTGATAGTTTTACCACTATAATTAAAATATCAATTATCGATGAAAAAATACTCCTCTTTATTGGATTAAATTGCAAAAAAGGACTCAAATTATAAGAAAAAAGTTTCATTTCAATGATATTATTCTTTTTTCAAATCTTCTTATGATAATATCTTCAGTCCCACTGATGATAATGCCGCCGGATAATCTTCGTACATTCTTGATCAAAAAATCAGCTAAAATTTTCCTATTTTACTTTTTATTAGAAAAATTTGGCGATATTGCAATTCTAATACTAAACTGATAGTTTGATATTTCACACTGATCATGATTCGACATGGAATTAACTGATTATAAATTATGAGCACGTTGAGTTCAAAAGCGATACATATCTATGTATAATGACAAATCAAATTGTTCGCATTCACCAGTGGCTTGCTTACTTGTTTTCAGATCCTCACGCTGCTTTTTTATTTTCTTTTGAATACTGAATTCATCTTAATATTCTTCTTCCAAATTTTCCTTTTTTATGACCTCCATCTGGAACACACTTAATATGTCATCATTACGTCGCAGCAGGTTTTTTATTTTTTTAAATTTCCTTTTCATCATAAACATTCCATTGTTTATCAGTAACATTTATAAGTTGCACATTTTGCATGCAAAAATCAGTTGAGCATTAAAAACTTTAGCCAGAAAATTAACTGAAGACGTCTTGGACAATCGGGACATCCTTGACAGCTTATAGGACCATATGTGAGCTTCTCTGATATCCTTGATATTTCTTCTCATCACGTAGGGTCAAATTACGTAACTCATCGTCATCACGTTTCGATGAACCGCTGGATAAAGTAGGCTTATCCTAAAAATTCAAACAAGTTTGTTCTATCTTTTTTGTAAGATATCTCTGGAATTAGTCACAATGACTAATTCTATGTGCTATTTCAATTAGTTTTTGTGCACTAATATTGCGTATTAGGTACTTTGCTAAATTTTATTCTTCTATAAATTCAATCACCCTCAATGACGGATCAGTAATTACGCATGTTTCTTTAGGTTTCAACAAAAATCATTTTTTTTAAAACGTATTCGAAATGTTTATTTTGATTGCAAAACAGTTATTGCAAATACATTAACAATGATGCTAATCATTTCACTTCGTTTAAATTTTTAGTTTTAAGAAATGCTTTTCTCTAAATTTCTACTGGAACAAAAAATTAAATTAAACCTGATCAGTTTTTTCTTCAGACATAATATCATCTTCATCATCTTCTACAAAGTTATCATCATCCATTTCAGATCCTGATTCTGACACACTTTCTCGCACTGAAATATCCAATTTCTTGCAGTTAAAGTTTATTCGATTAAAATTTCAGCAGTATTTTATATTTGCTTATTCACATTCGTGAAATCTGCAACCATTCAAAGCTACATGAAGCAAATTTGTTATTATTGACTAAATGAACACTCAATGCCTAATGCATCTCTGTCATTTGCAATAATTGTGACTGCGACGCATGGTCCTTCCGAAGCTCATTTCTGCAAGTGATGTGCAAACAAACGCTGCAGAAATCGCTCAATTTACAAAGGATGAAAATCTCTCGAGATACAAGAACGAAATTTGCTTAGAAGAAAAATAAGTTCAGTTATCAAAAGTTTTGGCTGACAAAGTGACAGGAAAATCCAATAAAAATTAATTAATTGTCATTGTCGCTTAGTTCAAACATTAGTGAATTATGGTAAGTTGTGAAAGACCAAAGTATGTGTTTTATCCATCGAGCTCAATCCGAAGACGTGTTTGTTTTCGGGTTATACATGAAACTATGCTTTATTTGACTGCTCTACAATTAGTTTGAACTTGTGATAATTAGCTTTGTTATTACTTTCGTGAGCACGTGTAAAAGCAAGCATTCTAAAAAATATTTGCAAACCTTTGCCTTTGACATAAATACTCTTCAAATCATAAAATCTTAAATTAAATTTAAATGTTTACATTAAACAACTAGCATTTCATAGTTTTTCCTGTATTGCACAGAAAGGCAAAAATTTGAAAGTTTTTTCATTTCTTACTGAAATGAACTGCGTGTGCAAAAAGCTATGCAAAAAGAAGAAAAAATACACAAAATGCAAATGCATGAAAGCAGACTTGCTTGTACTCGTGATTGTGCAATATTGGATTGCAGTTCCAGTATGCGCAGTATAGGTGATGTCAATATTTCACCCAACCGCGACGCTTCATTTTGGTTTCCTGGAGACGTAGTTAGAGGCATAGAAAGCTGCTATAATAAGTGCAAATTGCTTGCAAAACAATGTTGGAATCTTCGGTACAGACGAGCTACGTTCGTGACACAGAAATCTACCCAACAGGCAATGAAATCACGCAGACTGCTACTCTTTTCTAACCACCACCTCTTCCTCACTAATTTAAAATAAATTCCCCACAACTGAAATAATCAACTTATCAGTTAAAACTGGATCCCTTACCAAGAATGCCTATTTTTTGTCCAAGCCATCGTGCTTTCCGAACCACATCGTCTTGCATCAGTTTGAAACACATAGCGATTAATGCCATACCAAATAACAAATATAATGCACATACAATTAGCTTTTCTTGTGAACCTTCACCGAGACTTTGCCCGGGCACTATATCGCCAAAACCGATCGTACTGAAAATTGAAAGTGATAGAAATTTCAGCAAGCGATCTACAAAATTTAGAAAATACAAAGTCAAAAGTTTAAAAATTTAGAATCCATATATTTATAAACACGTACTATGATGGTCAAAGATCATTTTAGATTTTGCAATCGGTTTAATTATTTGCATTAAGATAAAATAATGATAAAATAAATATTATCATCGAGTGTTTGGTTATTGGTACATATGGATGGACATACCTTAAAGTAATAAATGAATAGTATGCACCATCGAAAAGATTCCAATCTTCCCAAACAGCGAATAAAATAGCACCACCGGCAATGAACAAAATTACCGTAATTATTCCAACCGAAACAGGCATTTTTTCACGTTTGTACGGCACACCCGCACGTCGTATTGACCGCAATGACATCTCATCAGACCGTTCGCTACCCGCACTGCGAAACGATCGGCTGTCTAACATTTCTTGGCGAATTCCAAAAAGATATAAGAAGAGCTTTATTTAATGTAAATTATCAGAAAAACCATCCAATTATTTAACACAACACTCCTTCAGGTGACACATCTGTGTGCTAAACGAAAGCATGCACTAATTGCTTCTTCAAATGTTTATTATCCCCTAAATGTAAAATCTATGTGTGGAAGCCACCTTTTATCCCTTGAATTTTCATTTATGTTTTACATTGTCTCGTACAACTTGTTCAGTCTCGTTTACGAATGTTTACCAAAGTTCGTGATTTTCTCCAAGAATGAGAGGAAAGTTATTTTAAAATATAAAAGATGGGCATTAACTTGTCAATACAGACGTCAGGAATTTTTGCAAAAGTAATAAAACAACTTTTTTCTATGCAATATTTAGTTTTTTCACAAAATGTTTTCAGTTGCTACTTTAACTCATGGCTGTAGTTGTTATGATACGTGGAACAAAGCCTATCATCATGCATCGAAAAGTTACAAAAGACAAATAATACCTTTTGCTTGAAAGAATTTTGAAATTACCTCCTCAAAAAAGGACTGTTGAAAAGCAGTGGCTTATTTGTGCTCATTATGCGTTCAATGATAACACCTGCTGATCGGTGTTGGGTTAATTCCTGCGAAGATGATGCTCCTGAATTTAGTTTCTCAGTCGCTGAAAAATCCTTTCATACCCTTATTGATTGCCAAACATCTGCTAGAACTTACAGATTTAAGTTTCAATACTTGAAGTCAGAATTATTCACTGACTAGACAAATAATGCCTTTAATCACAATCGGAATTAGTCTCGAGAGTGTCATATGGCGACTAATATCGGTTGCAAAATGATCATGGAAATTAGCATTGAGACTTCATAACAATTCTATTCAATCCAATGTTATTTGCTAATTGTTTTGATTTCGCGAAGACGAAGATAACATTGGTTTTGATGAAATTAATAAGTGATTGAAATAAGGCGAGAAAAAGATACTTTCTGCTTGTTCTTGTTCCTTTACTATTGTTGCAACAGTTCTTTGTTCAGTATTCTCCGAAGATCTCTGCAATCAACCATTCTATTTTCCTAATATGAAAGATATTTAATGGTTCTTCTGTAAAAAATATCAAAATTTCTTAGCCAACAAAATTGGTTGGCTCAATAAATTGTAATAAAAAATTAGATTACGGAATGATAGAAAAATGTCAAATTTATTTAACCAGTGAAATTAAGCAAAAACGATGCATATTACACCAATATCATTTCACTAACATTATTAATGTGTAATCTAATAGCTTAATGAATTTAAAAATAAGAATTATTCAATTTATTCTAATTTCGATCCTTGTCATTTGGAAATATTCCGTAAGTTTGATAAACAGTTCTTTTTTGAAAAAATAAGAAAAGATAACCTGATGATTAGTTCCATCTTTCTCTTCTACATTATCACCAATTGTAATTTGTGGTAGTATTATCAAATCACTCTGTTTACTGTTTGAATTATTTGCACGTTGACTGAAAATTAGATAGCTAACTTCTGAATTGCCAGTGTTACTAAATTAATTTCAATCAATAATTCATTAATATATTTGGTGCCAAAGTTTAACCAATTCCTATTAGCATATTTGGTGATTAGTAACGGTGCAAATGAAATGAACCAATAACATCCTCTCATCTCAATGTAAAATATTAGCACGCTTCAGTATATGAAACATCAGGTTTGAAAGTCTCAAGTTATCCAAAATTATGCTTCATTAGTGGAGGGTCATAAGGTCATGAATAACTCGATGCTTCCATTACTCCGAATAAATGCATATTGCATAGTCGTAACATCACCAATAGAATCAAACTACACAAACAACATCAATAATTTTAAGGATTAAGATGATCCCAAGTTTTATCTTTCGAGTTAAGTAGACTGAAATAAAAGTTTACTTGATGGTCATCCGTGGTGGTGTAACTGTTGACATCTCCTTTTCTTTTTCTTCCTTTAATCGAGCTTTGGCTCTAACAATAGTAAGTAATGATAATAATAGTAATAGTGATAATAATAATAATAACATAGCAATATTAGGAGTTAATAATAATGGTAAAGGATTATTAGTTTTCTAATTAGAAATTAAGGTTATATGCATATTTTTAAGGATAGACAGGAAATTGCATAATTCCTATTCAAACGTGACATCTGAATAAGAATCGGATCAGTACTTTTTCAATGTCAAATATTCATATTCCAGAAATAATTGAATTAATTTAGTAGGAAAAATAAACAGAATGATTCATATACTTGAACAGTAAAAATTCAAAATTTTCAATGATAAACCTTAATTGTGGCACCGAAATATGGCCAGTAACATTAGGATGTAAATTAGTCGATGTTCCGGCAGTGCCACCTGCATAAGTTTTAAGTTCGACGATGGCACCGCGTGATTTACCATCATTTTGATAATGTATTGGTATACCACCTAAAAATATTCAAATTTTTTATTTTTATCAAAATAAAGTGAGAGCATTTATTCATACATATCATGATTTAATTTCGAATCAATTCGTGAAAAGTTCAGTTGTCAGTGTAAGATGATATTATTCCCCTGTGTGGAGAAAATTTTCGAAGTTTATCTGTTTCCGTCATACACATATAATGAAAGAATTAAAATTTTACTGAAAAATTTTTGAATAATTAAGTTCAAAAATATTTAAAGCAATTTCTTTCGCATAATAAAAAGCAGTAGAGAAATAAACATTTCTAGATAATAGGATGTTTTAATTTTAACAATATCAAAAAATATTTAAATAAAACTCAATAAAGAATTGAATTTAATAAGTGCAAGAAATTAAAGACTGAATTTTTTATTAATCCGAAAATTAACTCTATTTTATAAGAGTTACTCAAATTTTAAAACATCCGATAACTAAAGCCATCATATTTCAAAAACGTGAAGACCTACTTCTAATAATTTCAATCAAATTTAAATATGTATGAATATGTACCTTTGGAAGATAAGTATGGACGTTCAATAGGAGGCCTTGGTGATAAGCTATAACAATTGCGCTTTTGTTTAGATTCGCCATCAATACGAAGTAAAGAGTCACGTAATGACATTTCATTTGAGCGGATTCGACCTGCTATTCCTGTACTTCTCCTTAATAATAATTCGAGACATTTGATTTTCACTTTAAAAATTCATTTTCTCAGCTCTTTTAAGAACACACAAAAGTATTTTTTAATGGCAACTCAAAAATTTTTCTTTTTTTCGCTAATTTTTTCAAATAAAATTCTAAAACCTGAATTAAAACATCTTTAATCACGTCTTTACGTAAAAAAAAATAATCCGTAAACAATAAATTTTACATGTATTATATGATAAAAACAAATTACTTATGATGGATATCATGAAACGTTCGAAAGTTGTAAGCAGCAAAATTTCTATGTCCCGATAATGAAATTGTGTCAAATTTATTATTAAAACTTCGTGAGCTACGAATACTTTTCGTATCGCTCAAAGTAGTCTTCATACGTGTTCCGTGCGTTCGCGTCAAACTTCCATGTCGACGTATTCCAGTGTAACGTTGATTATAGTGACTTGGTGGAACTAAACATACAATTAAATCATGCTGGCCATTGGCTACTCTTTGGTAGGGTCAACTCTACAGCATGACAGCATGTTAACAATTCTACGGCATGTTGCTTAAACTTCATTGGAAAAAGCAGAATTTAGCACACAAAATATTTAATAAAAAAATTTTTTTAATTAAAATTAAGTAATCATAGCAAAAATTTGATTTATAAATACCGTTAGCTTTTGATCTAACAAAATTTGCTCATTCATTATCAAAAGATTGGTAATTTTCCATTCTATAAAGAAAAAGAAAAAGTAAATTTTCAGCTTTCAAATTAAAATTAATAAATAAATTTGACAAGAAGTTATTATATTGAATTGAAAAAGTATGAACTGAATAAGAAGATAAACCTCTTCTAGCATTTACTGGTGCATTGGGATGATAGCGGAAACTGATTGCCGAACGATAAACACGGCGGCGATTTTTTTGCCATCGACAATATGCACAGCAAACTTTGAAATATACAAACGTAAATACCTGCAACAAACGTTCTAGCAAATCTTTCATCAGTAATCACTACTTCGAAATAAATAATTTGGTAAAATCGTAATTATCACAGGTAGTTATAAAGTTATATCTTCTTCAATGTTTTTTGTACAGCTACCGTGATTATTTCTTATTTTATGATATTATCCTTTTAAATTCTTTATTACTATTTGAGAAAATTAGTTTACCCTTTTAAAATTTTGCGAACTTAAAGTAACAAGTAAACAAGTACTTGAAATCATATAAATTTAACAACCAATACGGTAAGTTTCTTTCAAGACACTTGAGCCACCGTATTCCAGTGCCGGAAATGAAATTCCACTCAAACCTTTCTCCTTATAATCAAAAGTCTCTCTCCTCATTAATTTCACGTGACTACCAATGACGTAGAAACGTGTTGAACAAAGAGAATAAGAAATGTGTGAATCAAAATTATATTGCAAAAGTAACGTGAAATAGTATTATAACAGCATTTCGAAATCAATTACTTTTGATGAAATCATACAAGTTTCAATTTTCATCTCGAATTTTACTAATTTTAATAAGAGAAGATTTGATAGAAGATTAGAAATCCTCTTTTATCTCACTGTAGTTGCTGAGGTTATCACTTATGAATGGCCAAACACTCATGAATTAGAAAAAAAATAAATTTATCTTGAATTTTTTATTTTAATACTTTATCAAGATGATTTAATGAGTAAAAATTATACAAATGTATTTGTGATATTTTGGTTTCGGAGAAAGCGAAATTAAAACCAAGGATATCTTAATCCATAATAATATTATTCTTAGTGAGAGGAGATTGAAATAAGAAATAAGGTGAACATTTTTTTATCTGAAGACTGATTAAAGTTTTAAGCGAAATTTTTGTTTAAAAAAGATAAATAAAATGAAAAAGGGAGGGAAAATTTGTAGAGAAGAATTGGAATGAAAAGCTTAGACTAATTTGAAAACAAATTAGACTGGTAAAATAAAAACTAAAATATTAATTCAGTTTTTTAACATTTAGCTAGAATAGTTTTTACTTGAATAAAGTATGAAACATCATTTTATTACCAACCCTAACAATTTTACAATAATTGTAATAATACTACCTGAGCAAGGCTTTCGGCAATATTTGCCAAACAGAGCAACATGAGAGGTATACCAATCATTGCATATAACATTGTCATACCACGTCCCAAAGGTGTTTTTGGGCAGATATGACCATACCCTAAAAGTTATCCTTCAATATTTTATTCTAAAACTTGAAATTTTAATCTAAGATAATCATCAAGTTTAAATGTAATATCGAAGAATTTGTTATTTCAAAACTAATTGTATCATATTTTGTACTTTATTTAGTTTAAAATCTTAAATTTCATTGAAAGCAAGCATAAACTACACCAAGGAGTTGAATCTTTTTCAGATGACTTTTTTTTAAATAAAATATTCAGCTCCTTTCATTTTCATTTTTCACTCAAAAATATTGATGCTCTTTTTAAACCTCAAAAAATGCTTTGAGCAATGTTACCTATATCACTCAAACTTAAATAAATCCTTTTCTTTTGTATAGCTAAATCATATTGGCTCTAAATGAAAATATAGAACTTACATAAGCCGAGTCAATTATGTGAGGAAAAATTAAATCTTTTATTTTATGATTAAAATTCTTAATGATAAACAATGAGATTTCAAGGATGAAATTACGAGAAATATTTAATTCTAAATGAAAAACTCACCGATAGTTGTGAAAACAGTTATTGAAAATAATAAAGCACCCGAAAATGTCCATTGATAATTTGGTGTTATCACATCTTTATCATCATAACCTTAAAATTAAACGAATATTTGGATATCTAATGTTTTGCATATAAAACATAATTTTAAGGGGAAATTTTATTGCCCAGTTGAAACCTTCAAAATTGACAGCATTAACAAGCTGTAATTCGAAAACTTTGAGCAACTGATGTGCTTTGTTTTTCACTTCCGCTTCTTCGATCACGTCACTTGAATCAATGAAATTGTATAATTCATTTATTACCTGAAAAGAAAAGACAGTACTGAAACTAAAAAAGGAAATAAACATTATCAAAAATGAGGAGAAAATTTCAATCAAGTTTAAAATTGAAACTGAAATTAAAATAATAATATTAAAGACGTCAAAATGAACAGAGATTGAATTTATTTTAAAATTGCAGTGGTTTATTCTTTCTGACAAAATGTTAAAACACATAAACATTAATTGAAATTTGATTAATCGATATATTTTTAGGAATAATAGTGTAATTCACCAAAATAAATTTAATGCCTAATTGCAAAATGTAAGTTGTAAAAAAGAAAAAACAATTATGATCAATCATAAGAGCTCTGGGGAAAATTCCGAGACCTTATTGGAATACTTTAAAAAAAATGAATTCGCTGGTTGATCTTTAAATCTCATAAATTTACAGAGATGATAATAATAATAATTCCAATCACCATCAGAGTTTGATTTTGACATTATAAATATTCCTTGTTCTCTTTGATATTTTTTAAATTTCAGGATACAATTTGAAATTTCAAATAAGCATTAAAAACCTTCGAGTAATATCCACTTTAATGATTATATTTTTCCACAAATCAAACTATATATAAATATAAAGTCACAAACAAAATATATTATTTTATTTTGAACCTTTACCGTAAATTTTTGAAATTATATCAAATTAATAATGACATGATTTTTACAGTAACAAATTCTAACAAAGCAAAAATTCCAACAAAAAATTTATCAGCAATGAATCTGTTTTCAAAAAAATAAAATCTTTTTAAAATTAAAAAAATAGGGCAAGAATTATTTTCTGAATGCAGTTTAAATTGATTTATGGCAGGAAAGAAAATACGAACTTTGCTGATATAAGTTTTCAACAAGTTCTTTACGTAGCGGATTTATTGCGAGCAAAGTTATGAGAACAGCGATAATATAAGTTATTACTTATGAGAGTTACAAGATTAAGGATGAGATGACTTATTATTCACGAGAGTTACGTGCGTAAGGAAATAAAGCGGATAATTCGCTTTATTTTAAACTGCATTCCTTGTGAGTATTATCAGAATAATTTCAAAAATACTAAAATAAACGTTTTAGTTTATACTTTGACAGAACGTTTTTAAAATAGTATATAAACGTGTAATATCGATCTTTTATTTTATTCTATACATCACGTATCTTTCATTTCAATCGTTAATTATTAATTAAGTGAGAATGGATTTTTTCCATTGAATTTATAAGCTAAAAGTAATTGAAAAATATTATGCTTTATTTTTTCGTTACAGCAATATTAGCATTATTTAACAATGTCGTTCTTTAACAAAAGATTAATTTGCATTGGGCTGTTACAATTGATGAATTTGACGACTTCTTAAAGAATTCGAATTAGGAAAGTTTCACCCAGATAAGAAAAACATAACAAAGTTAAAATAGAAATTAAAAAAAGTTTCAACAAACTTACCCTCCACGTATCATTTTCTATATGCCCCTGAAATTTCAATTCTTCTGGATATTCAATTTCGCGAAACATAAATGCTCCGAGAACAGCATATGCAGCGACTAATGCACACAATCCAATATGTGCAATAGTAAATATGAAGAACTATAAAGCACTGATAGATTTACCATTTTTTTGTTAGAAGCAAAAAGCATACAATTTTTTCAATTTTAAGTTTGATTTAAAAAAAAGTTAATAAAAATTTTGTTTTAAATTAAACATATAAATAGAAACTAAAGTGAAAATCTTTGATGTCAAAATAGTTTTATAAAGCTTTAAAAATCAATCAGTTTCATTAATTTTCGATTTCAGCTAAAAATTTGCACTTCAAATTTACTAATCGAAGGAAAAATTTCGCTTGACAAATTATAGTAGAACACGAAAAACGTGTTCACAACAAAATTTTTTACATAAATTTTTTCAGTCTGTGATAAAAAAGAAACCTTCAATTAAACTTGTGTGTTTTACTAATTTGACCTACTGGAAATGTAATGCATTATTTCATGTAAAATTTTATTTTTAAATTGTAAAAACAAGTAAAAGTTGAAATCTTGCTAATATCAGCTAGTATATATTTGAATAATTCAATTGGTAATTCGAATTTCACCTTTCTTAGGAAGCTTATCATTCGCAAACAGCATGATCGAATTTCGTCGCGCATTTCCAATGGGTGCGTAATATACGCACCCCAAAATAATTAGGCGACAAAATAATTCAAATTTATAGTCAAATTTGTAGAAAAAAATAAAAAAAATTGCTCGTAAGACGAGAGACTTCCAAAACAACGAACGTAAAATTTGATTTTAAAAATTTCAGAAATAAAAGTAATCAAAGTTCATAGTTTTCATGTTCACTTTGCATCAAGAAAGTAAGGAGAGAAGGAAAAATTGGTGGATAGGAATGAATGAGAGGGATGAGATGTGATCCGATGGTTATCGCTCTGCTAGGCCTATCTGTTTTAGTTTTAAGAAACGAGTAGCATACATCAGTTGATGAGGGATGACAATTTTGGCTTCGCTGTCTCACATTTCGATAGGCCAAGCTTAGGATAGATGCATGGCTAGAATTAGCTCAAATAGGAGCAACATAGTATCTCCTTTGTTATCCCCACAACCAAATAATCAAAAGCATTACCACTCTATTCTAAATCCTTCCAAATTTTATTCCTAAACTTAGAGGCCTTTGGATCCCACAAATCTCTTTCTTCTCTGATCTCGTCTCCATCCACAGCTATTCGTATTTGTTTTCAGTTCTTTTTATTCCCATCCTACTGCCTCGCGTACTTATTTATATATTTTAAGTTATAAAAAATTATAAGCTGTGAAAAAGTGTTGCCCCAATGTCTTATTTATATATTTTAAGTTATAAAAAATTATAAGCTGTGACATAGTATTGGACTGCTTAGCCAAGCCCAGTTGAGTCTTCCAAATACAACATTATTAGAAGGGAATGAAAGACATACACTAAAATAAGAACGAAGTAAAGCTTTAATCACTTTATAATTTCGGGGATATTTGTTGTCAAAGCTGTATTCTTCCTCAACCTCAAACTAACCATCGCATCTTTTCAGGCCCTTTCTTTTTCTTCCTTTTACTTTATCCTCAACAATTTATCTGTCCCATTGAAAAATTTATCTTTTCTTTCCATAGCCGGGAAAAACGATTATTTGCCATTTGTTCACTCATTCAGCCAACTAACTCTCATGTTTTATATGAACATATCTATCCTTGTCCCCTTACCTTATCGTTACCCATCTTTTAGTCTACAAGTATTCGAATTCAGATGTGATAACGAAATTACAGAATCATTACAATGTATTCGCTTCATGAAACATTAAGAAAAATTGATGTTTTAGAATTACAAATATGATTTGGGATCAACAAATACCAAAATTATACAAAATAATATCTGAAAAACTCAAAATTATGCTAAAAATAAATGAAATTAAAAAAAGTTAATGTGATCTTACTTGATTTAAACCATTTTTCTACTGTAAAAAAGTAAATAATACTCATTTGATACAGTAGAAAGTTTAAACAAAACAATTCAAAATGAATTTTAATAAAGATTTAATGAAAGAGGAAAATAAATAGGAAAATAAATGATATCATAAGATAAAAAATAAATAGTAAAGTTTCTAAAAAGGTCACACAATCATAACAGTTAATCCATCAATTCAAATTTCACTCAATAAATCTTCATATTTTACATTATATTGAAGAAAAATAAAATGATTTCATCTTATTGTATGTTCATTTTGCTTTAATGACAACCGAGGATCTCCTGACTTGATTAATTAATTAATCCATTTCTGCAATCATTTTATGCTCAGTATTTCACTCTGTCCTTTATAATAAGAGAAAAGAAAAAAAAATTATTTAAACCCAAGAAAATTAAATTAAAATAAATATTATCCGTTTATCGATCCAAATTGCACATCACGCAACAATTTCGATGAATTACGATACAGTTGAAAAGAGATAAATTTAGTTCTGCTGCCAATTCATTAGTCCCTAACGTAAAAGGTCTTCAGGTCTTCTGTGTAATCTCTTAGCAAGACATAATTAATTGCTTTCCTAATTTCAACCTATGTCTGAAACTTCATTTTTATGTTAAATTTTCATAAAATAATTTAACCAGAACAAAACAAGTTGAAATTCACTTTATTCTCATTGCATAATCAAATCACGGAGCATAAAAATGATTGCCTTTAACAATTTTTGAAATTGGTGCATCACAATTCTCGTCACTGTCACTAAATCGAGCATCAATCAACCGAAGAATGAAATCGCCGGATGCATGCGCAAATTCGTAACTTCCAACCGAAGCTATGCAGTCAGCTTCGCTGAAAAAGCTATCCAAATTTTTATTAACGCAAAGTCATTTCCGCTGCAAAGAATCAATTAGTAGTTCAAACCAATAAACAATTAAAGATAAATAAATATTTGAATTTTTTTCACATTAAAGTCTGATGAGATATAATATTTTGAAGGAAAATTATTTTATTCTTTAATTTAAGTTTGTATAACATAATTAATTTTTCTTTTAGTCTATTTCGGTTATTAGAAATGTCTCATAAGTAACAAAAGATAAGGACTTGTTGATCTTATCTTTACAAAGATTCCAAAATATTAGAAAATCTGATTTATGATTTTTCCAGACGAATAAATTTGATCGGTTTTCTTGACCATCAATGTTCGATAATATCACAAAAAACTACAGTATGCAAGCTATAAAATCTGCTTGCAATAATTATTTTTAATATTTAGACGGTGCTAGAAAGTTCCTAACCTCTTCAATTTGAGGTAACAGACGTGAGGAGTCATGCAACGTGATACTTTTAACTTGAAATGCTCCTTATTAATTTCAATCACGCATTTATCAAAATCATTCAACGTTTCAGTCAAAGAGCCGTTCATTCGCTGTTTCGCAATCATTCGAAGTGTTGTTTGGAGCCGCTCTCGGAAATTCCTGAAAATCAAAAAAATTTGTTTAAACAAACTAACTTTAATTGGCAAACACTTTAAAGTTCATAATCCGCTAATTTTTAACAAATTAAGCCTTATTTGAAATGAAATTGAAAAAGTAAATTTAAAAAAATGCTTACCTATTAAGCAATCGTACCAAATTGTTCATATTTAAAGGTTGTCCTGTTGATTGTTCATGAAACGAATGGCGCATATGGTAGAAATGTGCCCGATGACATGGAATTCGCACCTGTCAACATTCCTATCTTTTATATATTTACTTTCTTGAGATTATGGCAGAATAAATAAATTGAACATTAGGATTGATAAAATGATAACGGATGATTAGCAAGTAATTTTCTATTATGATTCTCTCAAATATACTTGTACGTAACCGAGACGATTAATTCCACTTTCATGCATATTGATAGTATCCACACGACCTGAAATATCTGCTAAATTATCGTGACATTAATAAAGTCCTAATTCTGAAGTTAAATTTCTAAAATTTAATTTAATTTTTGATTAATTTCACATATTAATTGATATCCAAATAAATGGAAAGTAAAAATAATTCGAAATATTACAAATAAAAAATTTACTCAATAACTCTTAGAACCTCTTAAATAATCATGAAATCCGTTCATTTGCTATTGCTATTGCTTTCAATTATTTGAAAGCAAACAAAAAAGGAAAGAAAAAACATTTTTTTACATTTAATATTTAACTAAACTGTACAATTAAAATGAATTACAGATGTGAATGAATTAAGGCATTTTTTCCTTTACTGGATTATTGCTTAAATTCGAATTTTTGTTGACAAATTTCTCTGAATAATAAATTATGCTTTTGAATAGTGCCCATAAAAGAGACCAATAGTGATAATCGAGAATGGACTTAATGACTTATAAATTTACTAACTGCAGGAAAATTGATAGATCTGAAATTCACTTGCATTCACGACGACACGTGTTTTCATACGCCATACTGTACATTCCTTTTTCCTATCTGCGTTAATCAGGAAATTGAAATTGAAGTTATCCAACTGCAATAATTCATCATCTTCAGGCAATACCATTCGTACGTCATGATGTTCGAAGAGGAAAGAACCGGCTTGTGGATGCTCATTTGCAAGATCCTAAAGATATAAAATTTTAACGACTGTTATATTCTCTTTACTTATGCTCCAATTTTTTTAGATTCAGCTTTCAACGGCTATTCAGTCAACATTAATTTTCGTTGAAAAATTTTAAGTTCTGTTTAATTTTTCATTGCTTACATAAACTCATCATACATCGCTTAACTTTATTTCATCATCATACTAAGTTATATATGCATGTAAAGTCATTTATATTCATTATTATGCTTGTTATAGTTGTTTCATTTTTGACGTTTGTTATGAAAACAAAATCATGTAAAATTTTTTGAAAGAAAGAGTTCTGTTTTGCCTAAATGCAATCAAGTAAAATTTAAGCAAAATTAAAAAAAAAATTAAATGCATGATTTTATAATATATATAATATTTCATTGTTGCAATTTCCCTTCAAACAATAACCTGTAATATATCAATATTCACATTTGAATAAATTTTCATAGGTTCTGTTGGGATTAAAATATCATCCAAATCTGTGAATACTACCATTTCAGCCCACGGCTTAGCAAAAAACAAACAATTCACATGTGATTCTTCAATTCCTGAAGAATGAAAGAAGAAAACATTTCAACTGACAAAAAACATCAATAATTAGTTAAGTCAATAAGCAATAATTTAATAAGTTTCAAATACTTCAATCGAAACTTTATTTATTTAGGTATTTATTTATTTAGGAAATTATTTTTTCATGATTTTAATCGGAACAAAGCAAATACTTTACCTCTTGATAAAACTAAACCATTTGGATTTTTATCAGATAATATAGGCCATTTAGGCCAATGACGTAAAATGACTAGCCCTGGAAAACTTTTCGAATTGTCAACAATTTGTTATCAAAGTAGAAGGAATATATCAAATCGTATGATATCATTTGTTTTTCCTATCACAAATTTCTCTTCTCCAAATTTTGCTATTAACTTGTAAAAATCACTATTTTACTCGTCAAAATTTTATGCGGTGCTTCATTTATATTTAGCAAAATTATGAAAGTGAATTTTTTCCATACAACTTTCTTATGTTCATTATTAGTTCTGATTTAAATTGACAGAGAAAACGTTAAAATGCATTGATTTATTACAACAAATGTAAACTTCCCATCTCGTTCATATTCCCGAAGTACTTTAAAAGCATCTCTTGAAATAGACTGTATCGGAATAATAATTTTGGTAGCACCGAGTGCAAGCCACACTTCAATGCCAAGCAGTAATATGCGCCATTCCATAAGCGCATATGTCGGCGCCATGCAAACAACCAATTTGTGTCGCTTCTTCTTTGATATTCTTTCAATCGGTATTTTAAGTGATTCTTCCACATTATGTTTTGTGCTTATTCTATAATTTTCCTTCTTTTTGTATTAAATCTTTAGCGATAGTTTTTTAAAAAAAACAATAACAAAGAAAATAATTAAGTTTTCAAATTTTTAATTCCAAAAATGTAGCATAAAACAGTATGGCTTAGATTTGCTAGAATTAATAGTATAATAATATTATGTTGAAATATTTGAGATAAACAAGGATGACGAATTATTGTTGCATACAATAAATTTACCGTATAAAGGGTAAAAATTGATTTGCAACACGACATTCAGCAATGAAGCCAGCCATAGAACAAATGTCATTTACAAATCGCTTTCCTTGATGTATACGCTGAACATGAGCCTGATAAACAAATTCTTTACCATTTTGGTTTGTTGAAAAACAATACAAACGATACGATTGTTGTACATCACCGAGAAATTGAAACACCTAAAATAATAATAACAATGCATCTTATATTTCAAAATTATTTCGAGCAATTTTAAAATTGGTAAAAGTTATTGCGATTAATTTAAAGCTAATCTAAAGATACATGTCATATACAGTAAGTTTAATGAATATGGGATATGAATCAGCTAAAGATTTTATTTGTTTTTAACTGTTAATATAAGTAATGACCACATAATTTCCCGGGATATTCTGTTCCATGTGAATTCGATGAAAAGCACCAAAAATAATCAGCCTAAATGAATTTTTTCGAGATAAAAATGCATCTCCCATGTTTTTTAGTGTCCAAATATTGGTGGTACGATAATAAAGTGCTATCGCACACAATAATCCAGCTAATATAAAGCATCCTTTCCAAAATAGATGAATTAAGGTGAAAAAATTGAAGTGTGATTGATGTGGTACGTAGAAAGAACGGAATAGGCGCCGACGAATTAGCATTCCGGATGCTTCAAACCGTTAACATTAATTATAATTTATTTCATTCCTGCAACTTTATTAATTCATCATTTTGATCAAAAAAAAATTTGTTTACTTTCATGAATGAAATCATTTCCTCCTATTCTTGCAAGGGCATTTGTTTGTGAATTACATGACAATAACTGGTTTAACAGATATGGTAATTCTGGAATGATGTATACATAAGGACATCCTGAAAATTTGATAGGAAATGGTAGATAACAATAAATGCGTGCTAGTTGATAATAGCAATTCAAGTATTTCAATTAGCAAGGAATCCTATTTTAGATAATATCCTTAATAGTAATTGTTTCCCCAACTGTTTAGTAAAGGAAGAAATCAGCCAAAATATGATTTGGAATGAATCAAAATTTAGAAGGAAAATTGAATTGCATAGAATTGAAACAAAAGGAATATTTAACGATGAAAGAAAATGTCATACAAAATATGCAAGAAAAACTGTGTTTGAAAAATTTAATTTCATCCGAAAAATGATCATTTGTTTGACAGAAATATAACATCAAGACTTATTTGCTTTGATAATAGTGAGATAAAAAATTATCACTTCAAAAATAATCCCGTGCTTATGTTTATTAGCACGTCGTAGCTCCAATGAATGATAATCTAAAGTTTATCACATGCACTGATCAAGTTATGTGACAATCTGTCATTGCTGTTTGCATGATCATATGTTGCCTACGATATTATCGTGAATTATTACATTATAATTATCTTCATAACATGGTACTTACACGACTGTATTTTGTATACTGTCAGTTACAACTGCCATAAATCAATGTAAAATCTCGTTACGGTACGTCCACAAAATTAAGCCTAATTTTTACTTAAACACTGACAACAGTGCAGTTATTAAGTGATAAGAAGTTTATTATCTATCATATCGATGCCTCTTTTGTCACTATGCTGTACTCTTTTATCATATTATATTATCAAAACCTGTCATTTCATATTTCCTTTTTCCTTATTATTATTTTTTTCAATGATTCCTTTTAAGAAAATTTTAATGAAAAAAGGAAGAGATGGTGAAATGAAATGAAATTTCTAGTGGAATACAGAAAATGGAAATGGATTAAAGTCATCAAATCTTTGTCACGTTCTTAGTGACCATGACATCTTTGAAGAATGACCATAATATTAACCTTTTCGTTCTGATCCCATCTTACCACTTCAAATATTCCTCTCATCATCCACATTTCCATTTTCTCTCTCTCATACGGTTGGACACTTTTATTATCATTCTGTTCCTTCCAAATATAAATATCAATTGTAAGCCATATTTTACGAATTTTTGAGTAAGATTTTGAAAGATTTAATTATTTTCAATTAAGCATGAAAAAGTTAACTATTTACACAATAAAAGCAAAGTAATTGAAAATCGATTTAAAATAATGTAACAGATATCTTTGATAAATATTGTCTTTCACATTTTGATGATTTAATATTTATTAATGTGATAAAGAACTGGAAAACAAAACATGTTCGCTTTAAGCTTGCAATTTCAAAGCTATACATAAAAAAGGCAAGAAAGAAATGAAAAATAACTTTCTTATTTTTATTTAGCAAGTATATCATAGTAGTAAATAGATCATATGGTTTTAATAATTTTGACAATTGGTGATTTATGATAATTTTAGTGATATTAGTGATATTGAATTAGCAAGCATGGTAATTTTTAAATTTTAACTAATTTTATAACTATAAATCTGAGTTGCAAATATAATCATTTAGGGCATCAGGTTGATAAGAATCAGTGTTAATTGTTAGCGAAGATACAGCAAAAGTTGTAAACTAAGTTTTGAAACAAAATTCCGTACCATTGTCATTATCAATTATCAAATGTTCTTATCAAATGATCTCATTTATCCTTTTGCATCAAATTTCATTTTTATAGACATTTTGCTTTAATCGACTGATAAAATCAAATAATGATGAAGAGTCATCGATAAGTGATGCAATATTTATCTGACATATTAATGCATGCAAGTGTTATTGCAACTGTAGTTTGCAAGTTATGAAAATCTTAAATAATAATTGCATGCATAATGTTCATTTTCATATGTAAAATTTATGAATTGAAAAAAATTCAATCGTTACTGTTTACTTTCTCAAATTTGATTAGTATTGATTTCACTAAAATTCTTTGGCAAATGTGTTACATTGGCAAGTATATTACATTACTTCTTTTTTCTCTTTCAAAACTAAGTGAAATTAACTCGCTAAAATTTTCAAAAAGTCTCAAAGTTCTTTTTGTGAAATGATGCTTTTGAAAAGTATGGAAATTTTCAATACGGAAAAATTTATGAGAGATGGAAAAATTTTCCAAAATTACATTAGAAGTTACATATCAATTTTATTTTTGTGATAATTCCACTGATTGTCTCTCTAATTGCATTTTCCATAAAACAAAAAAATTAGCCTCTTTTTTGAAGAAATTCCAATGATTCTTTAGTATTATAGTTAATAAATTAAAGTCATCTCAATTCATATAAAAATTTACAAGAAATAATTGAGAAGGGAAATGATGTAATGAATGATAAATGATATGATGCTGTCCTTACGAAACGTTTGGTGACGGGAATGATAACATTCATATAAATAATGCGAAAGAAAAAGTTGGTGTGTCGAGTCCGACCATATCGTTGACCTGTCTAAAGCTAATATATATTACATTTTAATTCAACAAATTTCCTTTTCATTAAGTTTTCACAGCTCAAATATTGTAAGAAAATAGTGAATTTCATTCAATAAAAGGCTTCGCAATATTACATCCTTAAAATCATTCGTATTGGTCATACATTAAATTTTATCAAATGTTGATTATTATTGATTATTATTTCTTGCTGATTATTATGCAGCCTTAACACTATGTAAATTGATTGAATACTGAAATAACTTAAAACAAATACTCCACATATTATTCATTATTTGATCGATAAATTTAAATTCATTTTATAAACAATAATGATTTACTTTAAAGTCATTCCACATTAATCATTTTTTTAAATACAAAAACATATTTGCTATAATGAATATTAAGCTAGTAATTCAACAAAAATGATGTAATAAAAAAAAAGAATTGTATTTGCGATAGTAATAATCATGCTGAGTTGGCTTTTTAAAATTTTATCCTGATAAATATTAATGATTGATCGATTTACGCATTCATTCTATCCTTTCTTCTTATTGACTATTTTATTAATAGCCTATTTGTTGCAGCAGCAGAACAGTAGAATTAAATAAGCTAAGTCTGTTACAATTATTCAAACAAGAAATAAATATCCTTTATGTTAGCAATAAATTTTCCAAAATTATTGATTACTTTTCATTTGACTGAAACAGAAATAACCTAATTTTACATTCGTGCCAACTTGTTCATCTCAGAAATGTAATGTTATATTAAATATTTCTTAATTACACTATCTGCTGATTATCATTATCATATTACCGGGCAACATTCATTCTGTCATCATTTATCATTGTAATTATCGAATTAGTTCCACTTTACTTGATCACTACTAAATTATTATTTATCATTTATCACTATTTGCAATCATTATTCATTCATTATTCATCCTTTATAGATCCTTCAATCATTCTCAACATATTCACTTCCATCATTTATCACTGTCCTTCTTTTTTTTGTATGGCTGTATTTCAGACAAATTACCTTATATGATTTTTAATTTTTAAATAAAATTACCTTATATGAAATTCGTCAAAAATTTCATTTGTTACTCACAGAATATGTTCCTAAATATATTTAAATGAATGAACTATTTGTAATGAATAAATTCCATAAAATGTAACGAATTCAAATGGCTCATTGCATTTTTTTAAATTGAATTTCAACCTTATTTCATTTTCCTTTTAGCTTCTATTACTTCATGTGAATTAGCAGATAAGTAGAGCAATTTTTTTTATTGAAATTAAAATTATTCATGGTAAATCTTTTTATAAACGCTGTAAATCGAATTTTACTTTTCTTTTTTCTCAGTAATTTCTTTTATAAAATTTTACTTTCATGATAAATACCTTCCTTCATCATTGTAATATCAGACTATCACTTCAATATTCCTATATCATTAAAATGATTGTTCTAATTGTGCTTATGAAACATTAGTACCGCAATTCCGAAAAAAAGCAGCTCTGAAAAATTTCAAAAATTGATAAATTTTTGTTTAATATTTCTTTCAATAATCTAAATAGCACAAAATCGATTATTTTTAAGAAATTTCATTTTTAGCTATTAATAATTGTTAGTTTATTATTGGTGTTTAAAAAATTTAGCAGCTGTTCATATATCATTTGAAATATTATGTTAATAGTTATAAGGTATTTATGAATTTTAGATTTATTGCCATTATCATTATTATCGCAGAAATATTTTGCAAAAAAGGTAAGCACTATCTAATCATTTATAATAATTATTAGCAAAAATGACGGATAATTTTGCTTAAACATAGATATCTGTTCAAAATAAAGATGACTTATTTCGATTTTTAATTAATTTTAATTAATGTTAATGCAAATATCATCGTTTCACGTAAAATTGGAGAAGGAAATTTTCAGTAAGTCATTGCTGTCATTAATATTATCAATTTATTATCAGTTTGTCTAGTATGTGTTAATCAGAACTGTTAGTATATCATTCGCTTATTCCTGGTTGTGTAGACATTTTGGACATCTCTTTTGTTGAAAAATATTTTCAGTTATTCTGGAAC